TTTAAGGATTATTCTTTCTGTAAGTGCAAAACTACTGCGTTCCGCGGGGAAACTACTTCTGATAGAATTGTTACTAGATATCATGTCTGAGTCTACATCCCCTAAACAAAAGAAGAGCAAGGTTGAGTTGGAACAGCTTGTCAAATCCCATGGGGGCAGGATCTTCCAAACTGAAAACGCAGCTGAAAACACTTGGGTTATTGGGGACAGAAGTGAGATTCACCTTCAAAGTACTAAATAATTACCCCTAACCATTTTTAGACACTGTCAAGATTTCTGCATTGAAGAAGAAGGGGACCCATGATATCATACGGTCTTCGTGGATATTAGATTCAATCCACCAAGACGAAGCAGAACGAAGAGGTGGTAGAAGAGGAGGCTATGTTCTCCCACTAGAACCCCGATACATATTCTCTGCTGCTGGAGATATTGAACAGAAAAGCCAAAACGCGATCGACACATGGGGTGACAGTTACGCGAGAGATGTTGATGCTGGAGAATTGGGCCAGGTATTTTACACATGTCCCCTTTTATACATTTATGTATTTCTTGTCATTGACATAGCCAAACATTAGCTCCTCGATGGTATGTCAACTAATATTGAACATGTATTCATGGCCAAGTTCATTCAGACCCTTGATCATGATAACTTCCATAGCTTTGACGGTTTACCTGGATGGATCTTCAGAGAATTAGTCATTTATATAGACACCCTGAACTCGAAGGAGTTCAAAGCCAGGCATCCGACATTTGTCAACTCCGGTCCTCACGATATATATGCACACGTTCATGATCCTAGCATATCCAGCATCCTAGTGCAGTTTGCCGGAGGTAAAATATCTGAAGATATAAACGATCTAGATATCACCCATGTTGTTGTCAATACCGGCGATCTATCACGGTTACAGTCTATCAGAAGTTTAATTCAATCGTAATGTTATACCAAGCCTCTTTTAATACATTCATATTCTAACTTCATATGTATAGACGCCAAAGGATTCCAAGAATGGTGACAACAGAGTGGATTGAGGAAAGTTTGATATGTAAAGCGGTATTAAATGAGGAGAGGTTTGCGCCAGCTTCTCTATGATTTTCTGAGCATGAAATGTAACTCTACGGATTCATAATTTTTTTCTCTGGGTGCATCATTACCGTGCCATTTATTGATTGTGTTTTGATCAATGCGATGAGTTCCAGAATACCAACGATTAAATGAGCATCATCGAATATCACTCGAGATATAATCACTACAATAAAGAGTAAATTGGTTGATCGATTCATAGTTCATTCGTGTATGCAATGAAGAGTGAATGATTGATTGATTGATAATTGATTGATAATTCATTCAATGAGGAGTGGAGTCAGTAAGGTTTCTTACCAAGAGTTCATATAATCTGCGCAATAGGTATACGTACCTTGCCCCACAGACGATAAAAACCACTATTCGTCCTGGATTTCAGTATCGTTCTAAAGAAATCTCCATGTTGCTCAGTATGTACATACCGTAGGCGGGAACTTTGTCTACGGCCTACAGATGTAATACAGGGAATCGATAAGGATGTCTTCACATCACAGTCTCGAAAATGATTCCAGCTTCATTATTTTGTAAGGGAACTATGTAAATCAATACATATGTAGGTACGTAAGGTTTCAAGGTCTTAGTTATTAACTCCCATGAGAAATCTACATCTAGGGGTAGGTACATTCGGCAAACGTAGTGTTTTTGCGAATGGTTAAGACCAATAAGAATTAGTATTTGTTGGGCAATTTCGCAGGTTTATTGGTTGCTACATACTTATAAATTCGCTAAAACTATCGATGGGCATGAGACAAAACCTGGCGAGACTTTGAATCAGATAAGACGAGACCATGCAAAGTTAAATATGTAAGATCTCGAGAGCATTTTATAAAAGTCTCGGGGCTTTCTTTGTCAGGAAAAATTATTCATTTCTGCTCAATCCCTCAACTAATAGCCCAACCCTCACTATCAAGAGATTTCTGTGATCACAAAGTCTCGAGACTTTGGCAAGACTAACCCCTATGTATTGGCAAACATGAACCCTACTATCGCAAGGCGAGACAAGACTATGCTTTAGTCTCGTCTCGTCTTGTATTGTGCCATCACTAGGGCCCAAAACCCTGCGCCCGCCAAAGTTCAAGGCCATGTGAACCGCTATGTACTACCAACCCCACTCAATTCTATATGGGTGGCGATCCAGGGAAACTTAATTGTATATATGATGTTTTCAACTCTTAATCATCCCAAGGCTTCGGCCGAGTGTTTGAATTTTTTGCTATTCGGGGGCAGGTTTTTGCAAAGACCTCAGAATCCAATACTCAGCTTGTGGGCACTATTTTGAGACCCCCATTGTTGCTGTTGGGGTTTTGATAACAACATCGGTTATCCAGTATTGATTGAGGCAATGCCTCCCACTCCTCTTGCCGGCAATGAAAGCTCATCTTCGTGATGAGGTCTTCTCTGTCTATTGCTTTATCACCATTTTAGTGCGCGCTTAAGTATTTTCCATGCATTCTCTATGGCGTTCAAATCTGGCGATCCAGCAGGCCAGACATCCTACTGATTGGATAGCCTGTATCTTTATTTATCTATGCAGATTTAGACCTGTTTTGTGTAGAGTAATAATAGCTTGCTGCTTGTCGTATCTTGATACTTTTGTAGAGCTCGTGGTGGGGTGGTTATGGTTTGGCTTACCCTCAAAAAACGGCGGGAACTTGTTGCACGCAACTGTACAATACTCTAGGCTCTACTACTCTGGTTCGCTGATTCGCTCTGATCGTTTCCTATAAAAGACAAAAGTGAATTTCCGGTGCCGTGTACTCTACGTGTAAAAGTTACGCTTGGTCTATCCAACATTTCCGGAAAAGCAAAAAATAGATCCTTGGCAGGTGCACCCGAGTGATTTATCATGTTTCAACTAGTCCAGTAGCCCAGTAAAAAAGAAGAGCACTCCACAGCACCTGTAGAATAGAGCTTGTACCTATTCTAGTGTGGGTACTTCGGTGGATTATCCGCGCTGAGTATTCTACAGTCCCAACTCGATATGTCGGATTACTAAGATACAGTTCATTTCATATATACGGGATAGCAAATATTTACGATAAATCTGGGATAGCAAGTTGATTTTGCATGAAGAAATTAAAATCCCAGAGGATTTCGTACGAGACAGCAAGGGATCGGGGGTATTAAGTTCCGACATATCGAGTTGCGACTGTACATCGATACTAGGGGTGTGCCAACTCGCGACCGCGAGTTGTACGTTGAATTATGGGTATCAAATAAAATTTAATTCTCCCTCTACAATCATGAGGGGCCTTTGGCCCCATCCTCCTCCTCTCGTGAGTGCTCAGTACTTTGATGTGTCGTGCTGACTAATCAACATCCCTGCACTCAGCAGCCAATCAAACCGTTCCAATGTTAGAAAACTTAGCGATAGTACATTATCCCATGGACGGATGAAATTATCAAAGTTGCGACCTGGACCGTGCACCCACTTGGCGCTGATGATTTCCTTTTTGAGAGGTCATGTGATATGATATTTGGTCTGGTAGGGGGGGCCGGTGGCTTAGTTCAACTGGCAACCGACTCGGATAATGGTTGCAAATCATTTTTGGTTCACCCTGTCAACCGATGGTGTATTGCAAATCATTTTTGGTTCACCCTGTCAACCGATAATGGTTGCAAATTACTTATAGTTGACCTGTCGAGTGGTGCAGTAGGAAGTGGTGCAATAGGCACTGACTCGGAGTTGTCAATGAATCAGGTCGTCACGGTGATATTTTACAAAACAGGCACGGCACAGGACAAACTTGCAAAGTACACAGGAAAAATATGATGTAGGGGCCCTTTTTCTTTTCTGTCCTTCTCTCCTCAACTTCAGCCGGCAGTACTCGCATTCTCTTCTTTTTTCCATGCGTACCTAGTATGCCAGAAACACTGTGAAATGGCGAGTAGTAGTAGCAATTAGAAAAATATTAGATGTGTTACCTACCTGTACATGTTCTTGTAGAAGCCGGTCAACAGGTGGTGGTAAATCCAAAACTCCATAAATTTTGCTGTACGTGACTCTTGCTGTTTTTCTTTTGTACCAGCGGCGTGTTTTTATCTCTTCTGGTCCGTACTTTTGAAGAAGCTGACCAGCAAGTAAAAGCCGGAAATCTTTATGTGTGATTTTGGGTCGAGGTAGGGCTTGATTGAGTGAGTAGAGGAGAAAGACATTGACAACCATTGTATCCAGTAACCAAAAGAAATATGGTAACCAATTGCGTCTTGCAATCAGCTGTGTAAAAAAATAACTGCGCAACTGATCAGCTATATCAACACCACCCTTATGATAATTGTAGTCATCGATAAGTGCAGGAATTGGAATATTCATTTTGTGGTTATCCCTGAATGCCTGTCGGATCAAGGGACCACTAGTTGTAACGGCAGCTAGGCGGGTTGGCTATGTGAGTTGTCTGGGTATAAGGGAGAAGGATTATGTAGTGTGGTTGGGTTTAGCGAAGCGGGTTTCTATTATGTTCTTTCTGTTTCTGTTATGCGAGGATATGAGTCAGCATTGGGATAGGGTATGGATATATAAGGGGGGCGTTGTCTCGTGATTTCTTGTTTCTCTTTCTTTCTCTTTTCTCTTTACGCAACCTCTGTACTTCACAGTTACGAATACTATTTGGTTCGCGCTACGTCATAGGGTTTACCCGGTATACTAGACCAGGTACAACCATCCATAGTCCATAGTCCACAGTCCCCGTTCTTGCCTTAGGTGTACCCTTCGGCCCCATAGTCCATAGTCCACGTTCCCGCCTTGGTAGCATACCTCGGCCCCATAGTCCATAGTCCACGAACCTCCTACGTCTACGTCTTCGCCTCGGTTGTATTCCTTGGCTTCATAGTTCCTACGCCCACAGTCCCCGTTACACTTAGGTTGCGTCCTCTACAGCCAACCGATACAACACCACCTTGCTTAGCTCTGGTCGTGACTATGTCCGACACCACTCAGGATACGCTGTTGCAGCGTCTTTCAGAATTTCTGACCACCTATGGTCCCCTCCCAGCCGATATAGACTTCGGCGAAGAACTTACGGAGGCTCATGGTCTTATTGCGGAGTGTTTGGAGGCTCTCACCAAGCCTCTTGACACCCCCACACCACTAGAACCCGTTATCGACACGGCTCAGGAAGAGGTCATTGCCGGCCTCACCACAGAACTAGAAGCAGCCAACGAAAAGGCTGCCGATTTTTGGCAAACCTTGTGCGATAACCAGGAAGATTCTACCGAGATCATCCGAGGTCGCGACGAGGTTATTGTTGCTTTGAAGATTGAGCTGGAGGAATCGAAGGCTGAAGAAGAAGAGCTTCGGTTCCGTCTGGCACTACATCAGGAAAGTCTCACTATCGCTGACGAGAACCTCGCCGATGCTGAAGATGAGGTTCTTCACATCACCGCTGTTGCAAAGGTCTGGGAGGCCCAAGCCAATGCCACTATTGCTGACCTTCGTTCTCGTATCTCCGTTTCCACCGTTACAGTTAAATCTCGCCATGTCTCTAAGCCTCGTTACCTGGCTCCTCGCGCCCAAGATCCCCGTTCCATTAGCAATTGGCGAGAAAGGCCACTTGAAAATGGGTCCCCAAAGCCGGCGTTAAAAGGTCAGCCCCTTTGGTAAAAAATGGCAAACCAAAGGGGCCAGCCCCGCCACCTGTTTCTGTTCTCCCTGCTGCTGCTGCTGTGTCTGAGGATAAGATGTCCGAAGACTCTCTTGTTGTTACCTGTTCGGTCTCTCAGAATTCCGACTCTTTCATTCCCACCTACGCTCTCATTGATACTGGAGCATCAGGATATGCTTTTATCGATGAATCTTTCGTACGTCACAACAATCTTGCAATGACCCCCCTTAGGAAACCTCGCCAGGTAGATGTTATGGATGGAAGACCTATCCAGTCAGGAGAAATTACCCACATTGTCGATGTTTCACTAGATATTCATGGCCACCGAGAAATTGCCTCATGTTTCTTTACAAAGTTGGGACATTATCCGATCGTGATGGGAATACCGTGGATGCGACGGCACGATGTCACCATTCGGCCAAAGGATAATCTACTTGTTTTTGATTCTCGGGACTGTGTTAAACACTGTTCACTCAGTGGAACTGCAGTTACTGTCCATGGAATATCGATCCCTCTACCGGAACATCATACTGTTGTCGTTTCAGCAGTTGAGAAATCCACCACCGACGTCAAGCAACTCGTACCAAAGGAATTCCACCTTCGCCTTCCCATGTTTAAAGAATACGATGCCTCAGTCCTTCCGCCTCACCGACCCTCCCATGATATTGAAATAATTTTGGAAGAGGGTAAACGACCACCGTATGGACCCATCTATGGCCTATCGCAGACTGAATTGAAAGCATTACGGGAATATTTTGATGAGAACTTACCCAAAGGATTTATTCGGGCCAGTGAATCACCGGCGGGAGCACCTATACTATTTGTAAAGAAAAGTGATGGGACTCTCCGGCTATGTGTGGATTACCGAGGCCTCAATGCGATCACGGTCAAGAATCGGTATCCGTTACCACTGTTAAAGGAAACTTTGGCTAAACTTTCGAAGGCACAGTACTATACTAAGTTGGATCTACGATGGGGATACAATCAGATCAGGGTAGCGGAGGGAGACGAATGGAAAACGGCATTTAGAACTCGATATGGACATTTCGAGTATACAGTAATGCCGTTCGGATTAGCCAACGCCCCGGCCACCTTTCAACATTGGATTAATGATATCCTACGGCCTTATCTCGATCAATTTGTTACAGCTTATTTGGATGATATCCTAATTTATTCGGAAACTTTGTCAGAACATAAGGATCACGTCCAGAAGGTTTTGAAGGTACTTGATGAGAATCATGTTCACCTTAAACCTGAAAAATGTGAATTTATGGTCCAGGAAACGAAATATCTCGGCCTTATTCTCACCCCGGATGGGAATAGGATGGATCCAAAGAAAGTTGTTGACGTATTAGAATGGTCCACACCAAGGAATCTCCATGATGTTCAGGTATTTTTGGGATTTGCAAATTTCTATCGACGGTTTATTTTGGGATATTCAAAAATTGTTGCTCCGCTTACAGCTCTGACCAAGAAAAATGTTAAATTCGAATGGACGGATGAAAGGGAGGAAGCATTCCAGACATTGAAAAGGATGTTCACAACGGCACCCATACTAATGCACTTTGATCCGGATCGGAAAATCGTGGTAGAAACCGATGCATCCGACTATGTTTCTGCTGGAATCCTGTCCCAACGTGACGACGAAGGAATTCTACATCCAGTCGCTTTCTTCTCTAAGAAACATTCCCCTGCGGAATGTAACTATGAAATCTATGACAAAGAACTCCTAGCAATCGTACGATGTTTTGAGGAATGGCGACATCATTTGGAGGGGGCACAATTCCCAATTGAAGTTCTTAGCGACCATCGGAATCTCGAATATTTCATGTCAACAAAGTTATTAAACCGTCGACAAGCCCGTTGGTCGGAATTTCTTTCACGTTTCGATTTCGTCATTCAATTTAGACCAGGAAAACAAGGGGCGAAACCAGATGCATTGACTAGGAGGTCGGGTGACCTACCTAAGGAGGGGGATGAACGGTTGACGCATCAAAGCCAGGTGGTTTTGAAGCGAAAAAATTTGGATTCAAAGCTAAGTTTGTTCGCGGGTTCTTTTTCAAATGAATCCGCTGAAGGAATGTCCACTGTAGAAGAGTTGTTTTTAAATGCTTACCAAGTTGACAGTTTCCCGAACAAAGTCCTCGCGATGCTCTGAAATGGCGTCCGCCAGTCGAACAAAATCTCCCTTGCCGAATGCACGGAAGATAACAATGGTCGACTACTCTATCGAGGCGCCCTATACGTACCAGATGACAACAATCTTCGGCTAAGACTCCTAAAAGAGTATCATGACAAACCATCGGCAGGTCATCCAGGCAGAGCGAAGACTTTGGAACTCCTGAATCGAGAGTATTACTGGCCACAAATGCGGAAGTATATCGATCAGTATGTTCGGAATTGCAATGTGTGTACCCGTAGCAAGGCACCACGCAATGCACCCTATGGAGTACTCCGCCCGATGCCAATACCCGATGGACCATGGACGGATGTGTCAATGGATTTTGTTACCGACCTCCCAGAGAGCGATGGATACAATGCAATCTTGGTCGTGGTGGATAGGTTAACTAAGATGCGACACCTAATACCAACAACAAAGGAGGCGGACTCAAGGGAAGTAGCGAGACTGTATATTGACAATGTTTGGAAGTTACATGGGTTACCCGACACTATGGTATCCGATCGAGGGACACAATTCGTTGCGGAATTCTGGAGGTCTCTTTGCGACCGTCTAGAAATATCACCAAAGTTTTCTACCGCGTTCCATCCTCAGACGGATGGGCAGACGGAAAGGATTAATGCCGTGATGGAACAGTACCTTCGAAGTTATGTTTCCTATCAACAGGAAGACTGGGCCCGATGGTTACCAATGGCAGAATTTGCAACCAATAACCATGCTTCGGAAACAACGAAAATCTCTCCTTTCTACGCTAATTCGGGAAGAAATCCTCGAATGACTTTTGGACCCTTGGAACATGGTAGGACCATGGCGGAAGATCAAGCAAATGGTATTGCACGGGAAATGAAGGAAATATTAGATTTTCTACGAGATGAAATGTTCCGAGCACAAAGGATACAGGAAGAGTCGGCAAATATGAAGCGGACTCCAGCGCCCCACTATCGAGTAGGAGATCAAGTTTTCTTATCAACACGCCATGTCCTCACCAAACGCCCTTCGAAGAAACTTGATTGGAAACGTATTGGACCATATATCGTAAAGCGAATCGTTAGTCCTTATGCCTATGAGTTGGAACTCCCTCGTTCTATGAAAGTTCATCCCGTATTCCATGTCTCTTTATTGTCGTCTGCAGCAAACGATCCTTTACCAGGACAACAACAGTTACCACCACCGCCGGTCGAAGTTGAAGGACAAGAGGAGTGGGAAGTCGAGGATATTTTGGATTCCAGGGATCGTCGGGGAAGATTTGAATACTTGGTTAAGTATGCCGGTTATGACGAAGCTTCGTGGCAGCCATTGTCGGATGTCGAACATTCACCCGATATTGTTAAACGATTTCACGAACGATATCCACGGAAGCTTAAGCCTACCAGGAGGTAGGCATTAGAGGGGGGAGTGGTCTGTAACGGCAGCTAGGTGGGTTGGCTATGTGAGTTGTCTGGGTATAAGGGAGAAGAATTATGTAGTGTGGTTGGGTTTAGCGAAGCGGGTTTCTATTATGTTCTTTCTGTTTCTGTTATGCGAGGATATGAGTCAGCATTGGGATAGGGTATGGATATATAAGGGGGGCGTTGTCTCGTGATATCTTGTTTCTCTTTCTTTCTCTTTTCTCTTTACGCAACCTCTGTACTTCACAGTTACGAATACTATTTGGTTCGCGCTACGTCATAGGGTTTACCCGGTATACTAGACCAGGTACAACCATCCATAGTCCATAGTCCACAGTCCCCGTTCTTGCCTTAGGTGTACCCTTCGGCCCCATAGTCCATAGTCCACGTTCCCGCCTTGGTAGCATACCTCGGCCCCATAGTCCATAGTCCACGAACCTCCTACGTCTACGTCTTCGCCTCGGTTGTATTCCTTGGCTTCATAGTTCCTACGCCCACAGTCCCCGTTACACTAGTACTTGTTAAGCGTGGCCGCTTTCTAGACCGTGTAACTTTCTCGTCTAAAGTATGTATGGTGGAGAGTGCGTGCACATGATTGTTGTCCTGCCATTGCATTGCCAGTACACTGGCAAGTCCGTTACTATCTGATACTGCACCACCAACCACCGTATTCCAGGGAATATCTTTTGCGTTGTTGTTGTATTCAAGCGGGAAGCGGCCTGCTTGTAGGCGTGCTGTACCACATGCACCTATTCCGATACTCCTGAGCTTGCTGAAAAGGGCAACAGTACTAAAGAGATTATTCATATAGATGACAAAGTCGTATTCTCGATAGGGTAGCGATGATTCAGCTAGTTGATAGACGACAGCTGTAGTCGGTGCAGAGATACCAACCGAATCCCGGTAGGCAGAAGACAGTTCACCAATACCCTTAACCCTGGAGTGAAACCGCCAATTGATTGTGTATCCATGGTCGCAAATCGCAAACACCTTGTATCCCTCTGTGATTGGCTTATTAGGCATACGAACAGTATGCTTACTTCTTCCCCCAAATCTTATCATCATCTCGTCAACTGTTACTGATGTGGATGGTAGGTAGTATCTCTTGCAGCTTTCACGCATCTTACTACTCAAAGGCTCAAGCTTCTCCCACCAATTATCTGGCCCAATCACACTAGAAGGCGGAGATACATGAAAATACTGCTTAATTTGAAAAAAACGGTTGTTGCCCATTGCTTTGGAGACTGGTCTTTTCCAAACTGGGACATAGATCCGGATACCGGATGTTTTTCTCCACAAGTCATTAGGTGATTTGCATCTGTTTACACCCATGGCGATCAAAAGCCCTAAGAACACACCAATTTCTTGGGCTGTGGTAGGCTTCCATTTGCGACAGGCATGAGACTTCCTCTGCACAGCATAGTAGGCATTGGTATTTTCCGATAGTGAGTGGAGTATTTCTGGTATCCAAAAGAATTCAAAAATATCCAAAGGTGCGAGTTCCACATTCTAAAGTTTAGTGCGCTCCTAGTCAGAACTACTAGTAGTAATAAGTATTAGATCCAGGACATACCTCTAGCTCCTCTGGCAATAGTATCTCGGCCTCATGAGGATTCCTATGCATTGGCGTGTACGGCCTCAAGGGGTCTGCTGGTGAAGTGATACCACTACTTTTCTCTCGGCGACACCTCCTTGGTCGAATTGGAGGTTGTTTCAATTCTCCTAACGGGTGCCGACTCGGAATGCCAGTATTTGATGCCATGTTCATCATTATCTCCTCCCTTCAAGTTGGAAGTTGCCAGTGAGCTGAGGTCTAACTGAGACATCTTCTGAGACAGCTTGGCTATGCGCACGGTCCAGGTCGCAACTTTGATAATTTCATCCGTCCATGGGATAGATAGACAATTAAACTCTGATGATTTGCAGGTACGTAGGCAAGTAAGCACCCAAGTAGGTATATTTCTAAGCACATACATATCCTCACATGATCAAGAAAATAATAATATATATCCCAAAACGTAGACAGGCGCCCAAAAATAGAGCACCAGGACACTAGCAAATAAACGAGACTCAATCCTGACAATATCAAAGAACGAAATGGTATCGAACAGAAGAGAGTAAAACTCAAATTAAGAATATAACGCCATATATTCACAATAAGATCCAGATAAAGATGGATCCAAAGCAGACTATAAGTAGTTGATAACGTGTTTGACTATCAAAAAGCAGGCGAGAATCGCAAAAAAGAACAGAAACTTATGCTTGTCATTCAACAACCGTTTCCTTGCTGTTGTGATTGTTGTAGTGGCAACAATATGGGCACAGAGTCGGTCCAGTTCCTTGATGATAAGGACATTATTGGAATATATTGTCTTAGACTCTTCAATAATGTCTAATCGTTTAGAACCCTAGATGTCAGTGGGAACAAGATAGTCATATGTCGAGCGGACAAGTTTTAACCGGGAACTAATACTGACCATTCTTTTCCTCCACCGTTAAAGTGCTCTCTAGGTCAAGGAGAGCACCCTTGAAGCTATCTCGCAACCCGATCTCCCTTCCTTTCTCAATCTCAAAATTGAATATGTTCATGCCAGGCCCAATTCGTTCTTCTTCTGTCATTCCGTAGTGCTCCGGAAAAAAGCCTTTGGCCTTTGACATTTGGTATCCAAGGATCTTCCCACCCGCGAACAGCGCCATGTAATAGTTATAAGCATATGCGATCAATACATGCGGCTTCCCGGCAATAACGTTTCGGATATGATTTACATATGCAGTTCGTTGGATGGTGTTGGGGAGCTCAGTCGAGAAGGGTGTTGAGCCGTAGAAGTATTGGAGGTCTTTGGCAAATTGAGGCGTCCTCAGGAGCGGTATAGAATAGAGTCTTTGAAGGGCATTCCTTATGCGAGGGTCAACAGTTGTTGACTCGGAGGACAACAAGGCAGCCCATTCCTCTTCAAATGACTTGTATACAAACGCGAAGGACAATATCCCTTCACGGTAAAGCCGATGATCTGCGATACCCTTTCTTAAACCCTTTTGTTTTTGATATGAACAGGGGGGGAAATACTAACCTTGAAGCCCGAGGGCAAATCTGGCCATAATAAGGCGATTCACTGTGTCATGGCCCTTACTTGAGGATGTTAGTGCATTACTTCGTGATTTAAGGGGGGAAGCTTCATCAACGAACCGGCTTGCAGAGTTTATTTGCTGAGCTAGACTCAGATGACACTGGCTTTCCTTCCCAAGATCACGGCTGGAATTTGTATCGTTGTATTGGGAAATATGAGTGTCTCCCCCGGTGGCGGCATGCGAGTGAGGGTTCATATTTCAGTATATTTTGTGTTTTTTTCCCTTGTCTTTTTTGTCGTCAAGTGGCAGGATAGTGAGCGAGTGAGTTTCTGAGTGAACGAGGGGAACGTGTAGCATGTAGCTATCTTTAAAGGGAGGAAAGGGTAATAAAAGCAGATAAAATGATAAAGGGGAGTATCACGCAGGTTGCAAGCCTTCTATGGTGGTCAAAGACCTGCCTGAACCGCTAACCATACCCTCACATCTGTTCCTAAACTTGACCGCTATCATCGAACACATACCCTTTAATTCCGTACTCTCAACTGCGATTTTGTCATCCCCAAAACCAGGTGATTTGGGCTGGCCCATACATGTTCACTATACTGATACTCTACATGTACATGTGGTATGGGTTAGGTGCATTTACAGACCCAAAGAATCGGGTCGGTAATCTATGCATGAAGTACAGGGGTAGAATTGTGCCCAAAAATACAGGTTGAAAAACCGTAGAGAAACGTAAAGCAACCAATCAGAGAGCTCGGATTCGATAGATGAGCTCGGGCTCACCTATCAAGTTTTTACTCTAGGTAGACTGCCCAGAAGAGTTATCGTGGAGGTGCCTGCAGGTGGCTGATCTGTACCTCTCGGCCCTGATTGCGTGAGATCATTAAGGATACTTGAACGTCGCCTGATTGGCTAACTATATGTATCGAGAAATCTCAAACGATGATTAGTCATTCGGCCAGTTTTTAAGTCTCACACATGCATCTCCAACGTCTCACAACTGATCATCCCCCCGTCTGTTCCCCACCATCTTCCATGATTAAAAGCTCCATACAACGCACCATGTCCAATCCATATGGCGCTCTCCAAGGTCTCATAGGTAAGTGGTGTCTGCAACCGTCTTGTGCCATTAATCAGATATCGGCGACTGATACCTGGCCCTTCCTCACCCAAGTAGACCCAATCCAAATCCAAATAAACTGACAAGATGTCTACTCCTCTCGAATAGCCGTGAATAAGCCCAAAGGAAAGTCCTCTGCCGATGTTATCCGCATAGTTCAAAGAGTCTTCAGGAAGTCTCCCTACTTCTCTGAACCTCTCGAGTTAGAGCAGATAGCGCGCAATAAGGAAAGCGGAAACCAGAAGAGGAAGAGGAAAGGAAAGAGCGGACCGCCGGATGTTAAAATGGGACATGGAGGAACCTTAGACCCTATGGCTAGTATGAACATTCAAAACAGTCTTAAGTATCAGCTTTACATGCTGACCTTTCACGCCGGTAGCTGGTGTTTTGGTATTGGGGGTTAATGGAGGCACAAAACATCTCCAGCATGCTCTCGACTGCCAGAAATCTTACGAATGTGTTGCGCTTTTTGGGTGCAGCACCGACACATATGATGCCGAGGGAAAGATCATGCGCCGTGCACCGTACAAGCACATTACCAAAGAAGCTGTTGAAGGAGCGCTGAGGACCTTTTGTGGGGATATCATGCAAAAACCACCAATGTAACCTCACCTGTTCTTTGAAATTTCGGGATAAATCGTTAACCGCCTTTCACAGCTATTCCGCCCTTCATCAAAATGGCATGCGATTATATGAGTACGCCCGTAAGGGAATACCCCTTCCAATGGAAATTAAAGCACGGCCTGTTGTTGCGCATTCCATGGAATTGCTCGATTTTGTCACCAATCATACCTGGGAATTTCCTAAGGAAGAGTTGTCTGCTGAGGATCAAGTCGTGGGGAAAGCTCTTGGAGAAATGCAAGCTACAGCCCCAGATGGTGTCAAGGTAGGCGAGAAAAGGCAATCCCGAGAAGAAGAACCTCCCAAACTTTCCGCGAAAAAAATAAAATCAGAGGCTGCTAGTGAAGGGGGTAATGGAAAATCTCCCGACAAGGCTCCTACCCTGGTAGGTCAGGTTGAAGATGGATCGAAACCAGCGGCCGTATCAATCCGTATGACAGTTGGGTCAGGCTTCTATGTCCGCTCACTAGTTTATGAGTAAGTAGCCTTTGACTCCGTCTAAACAGCATGTATAGTTGACGTTCCACTAGTCTTGGCGAAGCTCTTGGTTCTGCGGCACACATGGTTAAGCTTGTCCGTACGCATCAAGGTGACTTTAGGCTTGGGGAAAACGTGATTGAGTGGGAAGACTTGATGAATGAAGATATTAGTGCCTGGGAAGATAAAGTGGTGAACACATTGAGAGCTTGGGAAGTAGCACAAGCTGGGGTCCCTAGTCAGAAGAAAAATCTGGGCAACACGAGGCCAACTACAACGGCACCCTCTGCGAAAGAGGAACCGACTGTGCATGAGAGACTATCTGCGGTAAAGGGGGAAGATACTAAAGCGACAATCACTGACCAAACTCATGCCCCACCAAACGAGGAAGTAATGGAGACTAGCGCCGCAGCGAGCTCCTCTTAAGCTGTATGTAAGAGTTTAATTCATTGAGGTTACATCGTTCCTAGCATTAGTCTCATAATGCCAAGCATCCGCTATAACAATCCGAACGCTGCAGGCATCACTCCTACATTGAAAGCCTCTATATTTGTTAGCGTGCGCTTACCTCATCATTGGCTCTCATTCTTCGTTTTACAGCGCAATGGTCTACAATCATGTGAGATCACTCGTCCTTTTCGAGGTACATACATGTAGTTATGCCTCAGTGTATACGGCTTGCTTCAGGGTAAATCATGAATCAGCTTGCCTACTTGCTTGACGTTACTTGAGTCCCTAATATAACCACTGGTCCGTGTATCTCTTGGGATGTCAAGCCTCATATATATAAATTGTGTAAACTAACGAGATACGGAAGTTGTGATGAAAGAAACGCTCAGCAAGAGGTGATATATCATGGGAATTCTTTATCAAATTATTGGAAGTAGCGGTAGGAGATGAGAGTTCTTGACGCCATAGCCCCCATGTTGAACATAGGGTATTGTGCTGAGTAGTGTTAGATTGTTAATAGGTTTTCAACTGGTTCTGGGAATCGATTAGTAGTTGATTTTAGCGGCTTGGTTGCTGTTAAAGGGATACTTGCAGCTTGAACTGGAGAAATTTCTGACCTATTCACTGATATATGGGGGATATTGGAAAAGGCACATATAGATCGACTAGAGTAGATATACATATAGTGATGGACTTTGCCTGCCAGGAGGGGTCGAGGGCCGCGCAGCGGCCTGAGAGCCCCGACTAACAGGCAAATAGAGAAATAAGCCGCAAGGCGGCTTGCCTGTATATTGGACTGATTGATATACATGTAGTACCGGCCGAAGGCCGGAAACCACTTGTACATGTATATATATTATGTAGTTCTCTCTGTAATAGCCTACATCCGACACTTATTCGGGTTTTCTTTCTAAGTTCATGTTTATATTTACATACAGTCTAATCCACCGTTGCCCAGTCCGGCAACTTCGTCTCATACGCCCATCTCCCTTCTTCGCACTCGTACCTCTTCGCATGCAAAAAGATACCCAACTACATGTACCGCGATATCCGTTAGCTAGCTCTCCTCTACCAAAAAAGAAATGAAAAATGAAAATGAAACACAGAAAGGGAAAAGGGAAAAGAAAACTAACCTCATGCGATCCCGGATCGGTGTACAATGGCGCCTCACAGACCGAACACAGTTCACCCGATAGTTTATGCGCCTTGATCTCCTGGTACTCCTTTACCATCTCATCGAAATAGGCAACGGCATCGGCTACCTGATCCTTTCCCATCCTGCTCAACCTCGTAATGATATCCTCATCATCGCCCTCCCCGCCCTTTCCTAAGCCAGGCCCCCAGACCAGTCGATTGCAGTATATTGGATCATTACTGATTGGATAACCTAGGTACTGTAGGTGAACACGGATCTGGTGGGTCCGTCCCGTGAAAGGATGACACTCTACGATACTGTAATTCCGCTCCTTGTTGTACTTGAGCCGGCGGAAGAGTGTCGATGCGTGCTTCCCGTTCGCACGGACCCGATTAAGTCCCAGCTTGGGAGAGACACTGAGAATGGGCTCGGAGCAGGTGATGTCTTCTGTCGGGAACTCGCCTGTCACTCGAGCGACGTACTGCTTGCGGATTGTGCGTGTGCGCAGCTGGTTCATCATGTCGTCTGCGGCCTGTGGGGTTTTGGCGCAGAACATGAGCCCACTGGTCAGGCGGTCGAGGCGATTACATGCTACGGGGCCGCTGTGTTAGTACAAAAGTCTAGTAGGATGGTGGGCATGGAGATGCAAACTTACGTAGAGGTGCGACTCCGTTCCGCTCATACTTCATGATCTCGATGACCGAGTTGTAGTTGTATCGGCCAGCGGGATGCACCGGCACCCCCGCAGGCTTGTTAATAACGATGAGGGATTCGTCTTCGAAAACAACCTCAACGGGTTTGTCAGTGACCGGGGGTTCGTGGCGGTGCAGTGTGTGTGCGATCATATCCCCATTATTTACGATCGTGTCAGTACCACAGTATATAAGCTGCTCCTGCGTCGGATGGCGGCCATCCTTCTTTCTAAATATCGTGACTGTCCCCGCTTCAATAGCTTTTTTCTAGCGATTGTTCAGTTCTATTTTCTTATTACAAAAGAAGAGGACAGACGGTAATGAACTCTACATACATAGTACTCCTCCGGGCGATCCCTAAACTCATTCACAAATATATCCAGTAACGTGCGCCCTCTCCACCGCTCTTTGCAGAACGTATTGTATGTATAATTATAAGGCGGGATCTTCCTCAGCCCATCTTCAAAATAATATAGCGGGTCTGGCGGCTGGTTGAGGAATTTTGACGGCAGGCTCTCCTTCTGCGCCGCCAACGCTGTCTCTGACTCCTTCCTTCTTCGCTGAGTGTATGCCTCTGTATTCTGCTTGCTCTTAGATTTTGGTGAGCCCGGAGGTGTGATTGTGAGCGCTGATAGCTCTGATAATGTCTGGTCTGACATTTTTTGGTGCTGGTGGAGGTTCAGGAACCCCTCCAGGGTTGCGGCTAGATGGAGGGGAGGATGTAGGCGGTAGAGTCCGACGCGCGAGCCAGTGACGATGCGCATGCAGTTTTTTCCTGCTATGATGAGGTTGTATGACAACCAAATTTGTTCACAGCCAAATTTCCCGTTTCCCTGTCTGGCACGGTAGGTAAATAAATGGATGCGAGATTTCGTCTTATCTGGAATCTGACAGAGCTTATCGACAGGCCGAGGTTGATCTACAGGGGTTGGCCGAGGCCCGATGGGGCGGGAGATGCAGCCTGTAGCAACAATCTATTTAATCCTCAAAGCTCCCAAATCCCACGGGAGCTGATTTGTAGCTAGAAATATATCGATATTTGCAATACTATCAAAGTAATTCGAGTCGAGCTACAATGTCGGTCAAGGAGCGTAAAAGGATTGACTATTTCTTTTTCCTAGATTACCGAACACGATGGACAGACAACGACATGTACTCACACCTCACCAATACAGTCTACAACGTCCTGTGAGTACTTTAATGGGCTTAATCTTGATCACTAGAAGCCCACACACCCAAATAAACTAACCTTCTACCCTTTAGAATCGACTCAGTAGTCAATACCTACCTGATCAAGCACTGCGGCCTGAACCCGGCAACATCTCCATCAATTGCGCTCATGGTCGCATCGCAGATTACATTCATATCTCAGACATCGTTCCCGGCTGTGCTAGATATCGGCCTCAGGGTAAATAAGCTGGGTAACTCGAGTGTCACCTATGAGTGTGGTGTGTTTGAGAGAGGCCTGGAGGATGTGAGAGCTGTCGGTGGGTATACACATGTGTTTTGCGACAGTGTGAATAGAAGGCCGATGACGATGGAGAAGACGTTTAGGGAGGGGTTAGAGAAGCTGTTAGTGAAGGAGGGGCCGAAGCTATAGATACCACGGCTAGATAGGTTTAGGCGCGTCGTGTAAACATGCTATTTAGATATTGCAAGGTCGTAAAGCTGGTAACCAAATATCCTACAAGCAATAACATTAGGGCCCGTTCGGTTAGATCGGTTACAAACATCGTAATAATTTTATGTTCGGACAGCCATCACAAGCGATTTTGCGGGTGTTCCAACGAACAGTAACTGCAGTCAATAGCGCTAAATGCCCACGATCCAATCATCAATACTTTAGTATTTAACTAGAAGTGTATAAATGAGACTACCGCCATATTTGGGATTTATTGGAGCAAATGGTACAAAGTGCTACATTGCATTCTTTACATCTAAACAGTGCTGTTTTTACTTTGAGATCTCGAAGAGAGACTTCGCGATTCCATCTGCACAAAAAACATGTATAGAGTGAGAGTTGACCTGTTCTCAGGTTGGTGCTATGTACTCTAGAGCTGGATATCTGACTAATTCCGGGCATGGCGGAGAGACCTTTTAATGGGTAGTTTTGGTGTGGCTTTGACTACCATTATGATTCTTCTAGCCTCGATAAGTTGAGGCCAGGGCCCAATCGAATCTTTCAATATTATTTTTCGGTTGGTAATAGTGCGTGGATTTAAAACCGTAGCTTATCTCGGGACCGAATTGCCCTACAAAGAGATCCTTCATGATCACCATGCCAATGTTAATTGGCCACCCAATAGAGAAGAAGTAATACCCATATAAATCCAAAGATCTTATCTCTCCTGTTATACTTTACATGACTTCCATGGTTGTCAATGCCTGAGTGTGCCGGAGTGTTTTATTTTCAACTCAGCATATGCATTGGTGTTTGTTCAAATATAGTAGGCAAAGAACGGCGAAACCAGGGGGTATGGATCGTCTTGAACACCCTCCTCTGGGGGTTTGACTTCTGGTTTGTGTTAAGGAAATTCAGAATGATATGGTACAAAGTCTGGTAATGGGAGTAGAGTTCCTGCATCGACACGAGCTTTCCCACCTCTTTTTGCCTTGCTCTTTGTGCTCACCAGATCTGCATTTTCTTCGTTCCCAGGGCGATATTCCAAACTGAAAGGAACTCCCTTCAAAGGCATTGAATTTTAAGGAAAGATCAATAATAAAAACAAGCTCATAATGTGATGTGAATTGATAGTATAAAGTGATGCTCATTATGAAGCCCCCGGTTGGTAACAAACAGGAAAACCTCCAGGAAGCCCAGGCTCGAACCACAGTTACATACATACATATATATTTGTATGGTAGAATGGTGGCACCCATACAATAATCCTTACATTATATGCTGATAAGCGAATAATGTATCCTCCACTGCTCGGAAGGCATAAAATATGGAGTTTACGAGTGATACTCCGTGATTAAATACAGTCCTTGCATGTATGGATTTGATTGTCACGTGTAAGTACTTGCTGCGAGAATAAGTTTCCGCCACCACTTTTGCATTTTCACGCACAAATTTGGCGGAAACTTATTCACATAATTTTTGTATCAGGCAAAGTATTCAAAAACTTTTGAAATTTCTTCCTTCAATCTTAGATGGCAACAGGGGCTCACGACCCTCAATTCCTCAATCTTGGGAGTCCTCACTGATGTGACAGATTCAAACGAGAAAGAAAAGGAGAGAAGAGAGAAAAATTCACAGAGAGAAGTAACTACATACACATTTCTCCTTTTTCCCCTTCCCGCTTACTCGCCCCCCATGATTTGCGTTAGCTCACGCCCGCCGTCAAAAGAGAGAAAGGAAAATGAAAAACATCTCATTTCCTTTCTCTTATTTTCAAAGAAGAGGCAAGAAAAATAGAAGTGTGAAAACCATCCCAAACAAAAGAAGTGAGAAAATGAAAAAGATGAAAAGAATAAGGTTTGAAAAAAGGTAGGGCGGATAGAAGAGGAAGAAGCTGTGTAGATTAGAAGAGAGCGAAATGACGAAAAATCATTCACATCAATATTCTTTCTTTACGCAGACCGGAAGAAAAACAACTTTTGAAAAAGTGATGAACACAGAAAGAGACATGAAACAAACTCCCTACGCTCTAGCTTTGTCATTCCAAAAAAAAGAAAAAGAACAAAAGAAGAGAGAAGAGAGTAAAACCGTCCCTTGTATCAATAAATCTAAAGGACAGTTTTTTTTTTTTTATACCCTTGCTCCTGCAGGACGTCCCTTTTTGGGTGGAACGGTAGACCACCCCTCAGCGGCTTCCTCGGCTGGGGTCTCTTTTGGCTCTTGTTTTCGCCAGTTGGATGGGGTTGCCTTCGTGGGTCTTTCTTCCCTCTTTTTAGAAGGTGCAGTTGTCGTAGGAGCGGCCTCACCCTCGGTCTCGGCCTCAGCAGTGTTGCCTTCAGTCGCGCCAGATGCCCTTCTCGGGGGTGGGAAGTCCTTGGTGGCAGTTGGTGTCCCAGCTTCACTTTTGTCATTTTCGCCCACAGGGGCCCGGGTCTTACTATCCACCTTGGCCTTTTCATCCTTGGCCCTCTTGGCGGCAATGGCGGCAAGTATTTTTTCTTCGGCCTCCTTGTCCCGCTGGAGGGTATCAATTGGTCTAGCAGCGCCAAATGGATTGGGCTTGCTCGACGAGTCACTGGTGGCAGATGCCAAAGCAGGCTCTATAGGATGTTCGCTGCGCTTCTTGAGTTCCAGTCTGGGGCGAGTAGTTGCAGCAACCGGGCTGGAAGGCGCTGTTGGTGTTCTTTGTGGAGCCGGAGGATCTGGACGAGCTCCTCTACGCCATTCATTATCTCGTTCGGGGGCAGTTGGCTGCCGTTCGATAGCTGGGCGCTCACGGTACTCTCTCTTGGGAGTTCCTTCCGCACTCGGCGCCGGAGAGCGTCTTCTGAATTCACGAGGCTCCCCGCGTTCGTTACGTTCTCCGCTGCGAGGACGATGTTCACCAGCGGTCGGGGTCGATGGTGGGAGAGGACCAGTGCGCTCCCACTTATCAAGATTGCGCAGCTTATCAGAGCCCTCGAAGGCACTCTGGCGGCGCTCCCCACGGTCACCGGATTCGCTGCCCATGCGGTCACGGTCACGGTCACGGTCACGGTCACGGTCGCCAAAACCACCGCGGTCACCGCGGTCACCGAATCCACCACGTTCACTGCCACGACGTCCAGTATTCTCGAGAGCGGGAAGAGGGCCGGTACGACGCCACTCTCCAAGAGTACGCTCCTCGCCACGATCCTTCGCTAAAACACGTATCAATAAACTTGTCCTGTGTGCTGATATCGCAGGATTGAAATATCTTACGTGGATCGGCGACGTTGATTCTAATGTTCCTGCCCGAAAGTTGGCTACCATTTAACTCCATAGCAGCAATCAGACCTTCCTTAGTGTTAAATTCGACATAACCAAAGCCCTTCGGGCGGTCTTCCATTTTATCACGAACAAGTCTAACGTTAGAGACGTCACATTTTTCGAAGAATTCGGATATCTCGTTTTCAGAGACATCGAAAGATAGGTTCCCAACATGTGCGGTAAATGGTGGTTTGTCGGGGATTGGGAGCTGTTCGCGTGGATAACGTTCCTCACGGTCGTCTTCAAAAGCACAAAATTAGATCCCAACGAATTAGAATCAAGAATTGCACCAAACGTACTTCTAGAAAAGCTACCGAAGCCGCCGCCGCCGCCGCCGCTGCCGGAAGAATCTCCGTACTCACGGCGAGCATATCCAGTGGAGGAGCCGCCTATCAGATAAAGTGTCAGCCTTCCGTGTTCATTTACACAGGACAACTAATGGAATGGCTAGACCAACCAGCGGCTATGACATGAAGTCAGCCACCGGAACCAAAAGAAATGGGAAAAAAATATAATAAGTAGAAAAAAGCACGGAAAAACGAATTAGTACGTACGAACAGCAGGCATATCCTCCATTTCGTCAGCCCAGGACGAAGTGGTTCCTAGGGCTATTATTAGTGGCAGAAATAGTCAGCAGGATCCTAATCAACTATTACCAAAACGTGGTGGGGGAGGGGTGGACGGGTGCCTAGCGACATACATTGATCACCCAGAAAATCCCCCAGACTCATTTTTTGACCCTTCTTAGGAGGCGCTATAGCAAATAGTTAGCAGATAATTCATCTTGATCAATTCATAGGAGAGTGATAGTTATGCTCCCTTGCAGGGAGTAGAAATAAAAAAGATGAGGGGATAAGATGTAAAATGGGAGGAGATGCGTACCCATGATGATAAAAAGCAGCGAACGCGCTTTAATAAGAAAGCGCGCTTGCTGGCAGGAGTAGATGAGCTAAAGGAGTAAAAGGCCTTTAGCAGAGGTGGATTTTGTAGTGTTGTTTAAGCGTAGAGGTGCGAGTGCGGGGGAGGGGCAGAACGGGTGAGGTTCTCGTTGGTGGTGAGGTGGAAAGAGTATTGTGAGAGAAAAAGATTTGGGTGGTCTCGGTTGTGGGGAGGGATTAGGAGGGCAACCAACAGATCAACAGTCAGCAAGAGAGCATCAGACAACAGCAGGACCTCACCTCAGTGAATTAAGTACATATCAATGTAGGTACATGTATTCTGGGAACATGTATATACGTGCGTATATGTAAATCATCGCTGAGTGAAACGGAGATCAGAGAATTCTAGAAACTTAAGGCTTACATGTAGTTGACAAGACCAAGATAATATAGAATTCCTAATATAATTGATAAACTACGCACACGTTACATACATGAGCGTGTTCCGCTACAACCTACATGTATCTAAAACATCAGGTCTTGTGAGAGCCTCAGTGAAAGATACATATAAACTTGAATAAACATGGTAAGAAAGTTAATTTATTTGATTTTCACTGGGGCGGTTAATGACTGGGAATTAGAAAAATGGTGATGGAAAACTGCAACGTATTAAGATTTAGGGTTAGGGGAGCTAATGCCCTGCATAAGATTCTAAGCACTTCATTATTCCGCTGTAACGACAACTCCTACCACCTTTCCAAGCTTCATAGAGATATCAACTACATTAAGTGCACATCTACAGTTATGCAAACCGACTCAAGTACCCAAGTACCCAACCCGATCCTCAATCCTGCCCTCAGGGTAGGGGCAGTGACCGGTCCGTCATTCCACCCGCTCACCACCGCTCACGGGCTTACATGATCAATGCCACCTCATAGGAGCGGCGGGCGCGCTATTTGGCGGTGCTTATGGAATCATTCAGAATCGCCCTACACTTGGCCTCTTTGCGGTGCTTACGGGGGTCAATTCTGCCATTTTAGGTGGGACGTATTGGGGTGTGTAAGGCCTTCCATGCGCGATGCTGTACTTAGGCCTGATTTGGATATTTTAGCTACAAGAACAACAATGATCCGAGCTCTGCAGGACCCTGAGACATTGAGTCTGTACCCGAGAGAGAAGGCCTATGTTAGTGGCGCGGCTGGAGCTGTCGCTGGAGGCTTCGTTGCTCTTGCACTTGGTACGGACACTCTCCTTCGGACAAAGATATCAATCCACGATTGATGTCGGCAAGCCAAACTTAGCTATAATTTTTGCCTTACTGACCACCTAAATCTTAGGCAAACCCCGTTCTTCTCTTCCCGGTGCTCTGGTGTGGGGATTAATCGGTCTCTCAGGCCAGGCTGTATACAATGTTGCCGACGCCCGGCACACAAAATCTGTGTTAAAAGAGAAAGAACCAGAACAAACAGGAGGCTTCAGTTTTTGGGATCGTGTAATGCGCTCTAGGTGGAGTCCAGTTACGAGGTTGACCACCGAGGAGTATGAAGAAATACTAAAGGGGAAGCTCTTGGCTTTGGAGGCCGATTTAGCCATTGCAGACGAGGAAATTGCGAAGCTAGAGATAATGAGGATGGAACAGCATAGTAAGCCCATCACCGGCGGAAGAGAACCTGTAGAAACTACACGCAGCTCCCGTGGCTGAGGTACGTTTGGATAAACCCCGTAAAGATATAGAATCATACACTCTGATTTTAAAACTGTACGTATGTATGTACATACAAAGACACAGATACGTCACAAACATTAAATTAGAGTTGCCTAATGGATCACTTGAGTCGTTAGGGCTTGACTTAATTACGCCGATCACAGCATTCGCGCAAATTCGCCCTTTGCACCACATTGCGCATCACCAAAGCACGGTAGGTGTCACTATCACCATAATACTGTGACTAGCCTAACAAAAATTAATGGCAATTAAATTCCCTTGTAGTCTTCTTAGGATTATGCTTTCGCCCTATATTTCGTCTTAAGCTGTCGAGTGATGTTTCATGATCAATTTTTGTCCAAGGGCCTGTTTGAGTCACCAAATAATTATATTACGACACTTGATTAAATACAGCACGAAACTAAGAAGAAGAAGATACTCGGCGAGCTCTCAAAATTTATTCTGGGTGAACAAACCGACCCAATGCAATGAACCGGCTTATTTGGTTGCCTAAACAGGCCCTTACATAGTTGAATTAATTATGGCTGCACGGTAGTGTAATTAATTTCTAGAAGGGCACCAAGGCAATATCCTTATGATAGGTACCGGTGCCAATTGAGAGAACTTTACTTCTGACTTGTGGGGTGTCGTTTGGGAGTTTGCGCATGCGTAGTGGTGGTCTTCCGTGCGCAAAAGAGGGTGTTTCTACTAAAGTGCGCACTCACAGGCAAAAACATTAGATGGTATATATACAGTACATGGAGGTATGGCGGTAGTTATATCTTTGTCCTACAAAAGTCACTGGTAGCGCCCCCAAGCCACGACGCGGGCCTAACTGTATGGGTGGTTCAGTGTCTTCAAAGTTCGCTGTCTCGAGATCGGTTACCCAGCCGAAGGTCCGATGTACCTACATTTCTGGTAGTCCGCCAAGATTCGCTGCACTGACACGCGAGAACCTTTCCAGTTGAGCTACATAGTGCTAGAGTTTACAATGCGTGTACATACATGTGTGTTTATAGGATGAGAAGGATGAACAACTCTTTTTTGAGGCAGCACTGCCCTGTAGAGTAGGTGCCGGTTGTGTAGCGCTATAGCAGCACCTAGCTTCTGCGCGTAAATGCGTTTTAAAGCGCATGCGGCTATTGAACAATGTGAATGAGCATGTATGGATATCCGTAATATGTACATGTTAAAATTTTGGCATAACATTCCTGAAATAACACCTCTTCCCGTGTTCTCAGGTAGAATTCACTCGACCTTTGTTCCTTTCCCCCTGCATCCTGGGGGCCCGCGCATACGTTCAAAATTTAGATCTGTACTCCGGAATTACACATAGCAACCAGACGAGATTCGGGGATTTGAGATCATCAGTCCCTCGTCTGCTATCAACGGTAATCTCAACCCCCATTTTTATTACTCTTGGTGCAAAAAAAACGCAACAAGCTCACTCTTTGCTCCCTTTCTCCACCATAATTCATTCTTCGCTCTTTACATATCCAAACGATCAGATCAAACATGAGCACAAGCTTATAATACAACAAAACAGCATTCATTCATAGGGTTTGAGGAGGCACGCGAGCCGGACCCTCCATACAAGCAAGAACTTGGACAGGGAAGAAGAAGGGAATAGGGGGCAGCTGCGAGGACAAGGAAAACCCAGAGTTTATCACAGAAAGCATAATATTTTCTCATATGGCCACCGCGTACCGCTTCCCAACGTTTGTATTAGGCGTTGTGGTCGTCGGATACCTAGCTACATTTGTCTTCTTCGCTATCCTTCGGATCCTCACAGGAGTTTCAATTCAACGAGTGGGATACTTCGCATTTAAGCGGATCAGCTACGAACCCGTCAACGGTGTCAAGATCGAGGTCCGGAAGCTTGGACTGTTACTACATAGACCGACGTTTACGCAACCAACATGGATTTCTATCGTCGTATCGGATTCATCGTTGTCAGTGGATTTCAAGAAGATAGAAGAGGGGGAGGATAACGAATCAGATGAGTCTGAAAGTCAGTCTCGCAACAGAAGGGGGAGAAAAGATACTCTACGGAGGGAAAGCGGGGCGGCTTCCGGGGTTCCGACACAGAAGAATAGGAGCGAGATCCGTGGAGGAACATCAAAGCTGAAGGAGAAGCTGAAAAAGCTTCATAAACATCTTAAATGGGTTCAAATGGTAGACATCATATTCACAAATACAACCGTGAATGTTCATGATGTGGGGAGCATCCAGATTAGCAGCATGACGACAATGCTGGATACTCGGCAGAAAATCGATCGGAATCGGATGTTTGACCATTGTCAAGATCTTAAAGAGAACCAGAAGCCCATCGAATGGATGTTTACTGCCAAGAGCATGTTGTTTTTCCACCAAAAGCAGAAGGATCCTGTTGAGCTTATGGATCACTGTATGTTCAATGTCTACGGTGTTCTGGAGGAGGGGGCAGATGTAATCATGGATGCTGCAATTTCTATCAAATTTGGGAAAATCAGTCTTCCATTTGATCAGATCCTTGAATGTCGTGAAAAGCTTCAACAAATAAGGCGGCCCAAATGCAAGAAATCGGCAAAGGCAAAATCCCCGGGGGTGCCCTTGGGCACACTCATGGAAGAGTTAGCGTCACCAGAAAGTCAATCGGAAAAGTTCGTGGAAGCGGTGGATGAATCAAAGAAGTTCTTGCAATCTTTACTGGTAGGGTTAAAGGAAGTCCAGTTCGCTATTGGATATCTTATCATTTCGAAAGCTGTTACTAGGGTTCAGCCTTCTGGAAAACCTCTACAAGTTGTAGTAAGTATGAAAGAGCTGGGAATGGATATTCACCGCTTAGATCAAAAGTCACCTGCACATCGCATGTATGATATTCACCCCAGACTAAATATTGTAATTTGCTAAATAATCGTCTCCAGGTATTTCTCTCCGGAGGACATTGCCCATCAAGCTCTCTTGGCCGCAATTTCCCTTTCAGTCAGTGTTGACGATGGCATTCGACAAGACAAGATTCTTTACATTCCGATGGTCACCGTGACTACCAAGACTACACTTCCCTCAAAATTTATTCAAATGAGCAAGAAATCGATCGAATCTGATTTAAATGCCAACATGCTTTTCGCCAACATGGTTATTACATCACCTTCAATAGATCTTGAGCCCAGACACTTGCCCATATTATTAGCCTTCACGCAGACAAAACCTCGTAAATCCTCTTCCGGTGCTCCCGGAAAGCCTTCTTTTATTTCAAATCTACTACCGAAAGCAAGCATTAATTTCTCGGTCCACGAGCCTGTAATTCGGATATCCGTGTTTCCGACAGACTCAGAACGGAAAGCAGCTGGCAATACGGATTTACTTATTTCTAGCATGTCTTCTATCTCCGCCGTCGCAGATTCGTCATACGAAGCCGAGGGCGAAAAACATTACTCCCTTAACGGCTCCTTTCGGATTACATCTCATCATCTTTATTATCAAGGATTTTCCGGGGAGAAGCATGATCTTTTGCAAACCGATGCACTTGACATTAGAGTACTTGCAAACGCATTCCCTGAAATCCAAGTTACTGCGCATGCATATCTCGAAACTTTCTCACTTCGTCTTGTACGTCCAGAAATTGTCCAGGGGATCAAGCAAATGGTTGGACAATTCCACCGGAATGTCAAGCCTGATAAACTCCATAGGTCACGAACGTCCGATGTTCCGAACTTCCTTCGCCGTCTTCCTGCTTGGATCGAGCATTTTAAGCTAGAGGGTAAAGATTTTAGTATGGAGATTGCAGGTATAGATGAGGAGATATCTGGGTTCACACGTGGGGCTGCGCTGCAACTAGATTCGTGGTCAGTAGAGTATAGAGGCCGAAAAGTCGATGACCGATATCGACCTCCGCCTCGAAGAAGGATCACTTCAAGGATCCTCACACCGGATGATACTCGAGGATCTAAGATGCCATCCGTGGCGGCTTTGAAGAATCCTACAGATGGAAGGAAGCTGACCTTCAACACCAAGGGATTAGAAGGATTTATGGTGGATTCCGAGGATTCGTGGGAGCAAGTTCCCTTTCTGAACATTCCCGCATTTGATATCTCGTTTTCGACTTCTACGGATAGTGAGGGGCCAACACTGCACATCAGTTCGCATGCAAAATCGTTTTTCTTCAATTACTCATTATATCGACATTATGCTGTTCTCGTTGCCATGAAGGTCCTCAAGGAGGCATTCGGGGGGAGTGTAAGGCCAGAAGAGGGCGCAAACAGATCTACGAAATTTTCGGATAACTTCGGTGCGCCACTTGGAGGAATGGAAATAGATGACAGCCCACTCTCGGACTCTTTTGAACACATAAATTTGGAACTTAAGATTTCCCATGTTCGCATCAAGGCAAGCATGCCCGATGACCCACCAATGATGCTGGACATGTTCGGTCTTGATGCTCGGCGCCATAAGTGGAGCCCCCCATTGCTTAAAGCAAAACACGTGAGGCTATATGCAGAATCGCCGAATGTGAAGGGGACTTGGACTAGGCTTGTCAGCTTGCGACACCTTCAAGTTCACTTGCGTCAAGCGATTAGAAAAAGTGGCGAGGATGTAATGGAGCAAAAGTCGATTGATATCTCCGCTGATGCAATCCGACTGGCGATTCCCCATCAACTCATCCTGTATGAGGTGACCGATAATATTATCAACACTGCAAAGGCAAGCCAACAAATGCATCACCGTTTTAAAACGGGCACAAACGATTATATTCTCGGTAAGGGGGCCGTAAAAGCCAGCAAGGTTCCTAAAATATCGCTACGAACCAAGGCACTGCTTCTTGAGCTTGAGGATGATCCATTCGAAACACAACTGGGAATCATCTACCGTCTAGGTTTATCAGAACAGAAGAAGAGACTTGCCAGAGAGGCTGCATTTGATGCGAAGGTAAAAAAGATGAAGGAAAGTGAAAGAAGGCGATCATGGGAGACATCTAGAAATATTCAGATACCACCTAAGACTGCCAACGGAGGATCTTCAATGTTTAGAGGGCGAAGCAAAACTTGGAAACCAGATACAAATGTACGCACCGAGTCACCTGATGCCCCTAGACCAAAGTCGTCTCATCGTGGTAGAACAACGCCGTTTAGTTTTGAAGCCCATTCAGGTCCATCTGATGAAGTTCGAGTCTCCATCGAAGACGCCTGGGAAAGACTACAGGAGCACAATTCAACTGCCTGGATTAAGCGGATGAGGTGGGCTCAGGATTATCACAGCTCCAAGACTAGGGAATCTAGAGAAGCGTTTTATGGACGTGATGAAATTCCCGTTGATATTGACGATAGCGAGATTGTTCTTGGACTTCCTATGCGACCTGCACTTATGGCTGGATTCCTCAGCGATGTTGAATTGGTTATTGATAAACCCAGTTTCGCAATGGAGGAACTACCAAAATTTATGCACCGAGTTGGAAAGGGTCTGCCGGAAAATACACAGTTTGCATTGCTGGTACCCATAAGCATCAAGCTTGATTTCAGCGAGGCAAGAGTTCTTCTGAGGGATTACCCACTGCCCCTTCTCCACGTTCCTCGTGTCAAAGCATCTCAGTCCGCTCGCCTACCGGCTTGGTCTCTCAAATCAGATTTTGTGATCGGGGAGGAGCTGAGTGGTTCTGAGTCGATGCGACATTGTCAGGTAAATATCATTCCACCTTCAACTGGATCTGGAATATCAGAAGGCGGCTTTGCTATCGACGTGAGACGCACGGTTGCTGCAGTAAAGAGCTATTCAGATTTCGATATTTCAATCAATACTCCTTATGCAACAAGGGCTACATGGTGCACTTCTTACCAGCCTGCAATTCAAGACATGATGATGGTTTTTGAGACATTTACGAAGCCGCATTTCGATCCAAGCGAGAGGACCGGGTTCTGGGATAAGATCAGGCTAGTTTTGCATTCGCATATGAGTGTGTCATGGAAAGGGGACGGCGATGTTCAGGTTACGTTGAAAGGTAGGCTCAATCCTTTTTTGTACTTATGAATCGTGATGCTCATCAAGCTTTCAGGTTCCCGCGATCCATATGAGATTGTTGGTGATGGTGCTGGTTTTGTTATGTGCTGGAGAGGAGATGTACGTTGCGAAATTGGTAGATCTGAGGATCCACGGGAATTCTTGATAGTCGACAGCGAAGAGTACCTACTAGCTGTTCCAGACTTTACAAATCAAGTACGAAATGAGTTCGACACTTTAGCTCCTGTCGATAACAAAAGCGTTCATAGCCTAAGCACCTTTGAAAGCACGGCAATGTTCAAGAAAGTCATAATGAAGCTTTCGGGTAAAGTGCGGTGGATGCTTGGGCTTATGTTTGAGCAGGAGTTCAAGGGAGCGGATGGCTTGATAAAGAGGTCTTTTGAGTTTAAGCCTCATTATGATATTTCACTCAAGACCCCCCAATATGCCGAAGCCCCACCTGGAGAAGTGTACGATGCTTTTCGGGGATTCCGAAGTCAACATATCCATATGTCCCTATCGATCCTGTCCCCGCTCACTCATGATTGGTCATCTGCCAATACAAAGCCATCGACGAGCTATAATACCATTCATCTAACCCCGAGGTTTTTTACTCATTTCTTCTCCTGGTGGGGACTTTTCTCCGGTGTTATGTCCCTTCCCATTCGCCAGGGACCTCTATGGCCTGGTGTGGAGAAGTCGAGTAAGAAATTTGGGAGACATCTTGCCACTATAAAATACAAGCTTTGCTTATCTCCCCTCTTTATCAGCCATATATACAAACATAACGATAAAGATGAAGCCGGGCATGATGTTGTTGCGGCTACTGGTCTAAAGGCCAAGCTTGATAGCTTCATGGTTGATATTCATCAGAGACGGGAGGATATCGGTCAAAGCACCACTATGAGGATTAACCAAGCTGAGCTAGATTTTCATTCCGCTGATATTAGGGCTGTATCAGCAGTCATTATCGGAGCGACGGCGGCCGAGTTGATGGACCAAGCAGCTGCAGCTGAGGTCCCTTTAAACCTCGCAGAAAGCACTATCAGGTATTCGGGTGACATGTCGCAATTCACAATTCCAGATGGTGATTATTCTTGGATTGATATGGACGATTTTGTCGAGCTTGATTGGGTATTACCTAGTAACAAGACGCCAAAGACAAAGATCATGCCGCTGGCCTACACTCCGAGATTCACATATTTCAGGCAAACAGATCATGGTGACCCCGATTCACGTTCTGGAAACGAGTGTGTTAGCCCCTTCGGGCATGAACCCACGCATGATTGCCTCATGTCGGAAAATAATGGTAAGTGTAGATTATATGCTGGAAGTAAATATCGGCTAACCGAGCGAATAGATCCTCGCGAGATTCAATGTGGTCTTGTACAAGCACGCCTAGAGAAGGTGAATCAACAAATCCACAAAAACAAGGAGGCCTTAGATTCTCTCGCCCAATCAATGAAGCTAAATCCTGATGATACGACTCTTAAGCAAGACGTAAGTTGGTCCGGACTCCTGATTCAGCATCATATAATTAACTCTGCCACTACAGTCTGAGAAACTCATCGAACAGAGTTCGATCTTATTTAATAAACTCAACTTTCTTCAGACAATGTTGCGACGCATGTCTAGCAAGCTTGACAATGGTGGTATTGAAACCCCTGACCTAGACGGTACCGAAGGATCTGATACAGATTCTGAAATGCTTGGGATGGAAAATTCCCCCTTTGATTACATCAGTGATTTTGACAATCGTTTCATTGTCCACAATATGCAGGCAAAATGGAACAACTCACTGAGGAATATCATTCTAAAGTATATTCACCAGGTCAGCCAGAGGCGTGGTTTTGTGTACTACATGTCCCGGCGAGCAGTCAAATTTATTCTGGATATAGTCGAAGAACAGAAGGGGACAGGCAAAGAGACGTCGTCTGGATCCACTACTGGAGAATATACCGGCACAGGACCTTCCTCCACGCCTGGTACCCAAAGCGATGATGAACTTGACGCTCGAATAAAAGAGCTTCTGAATAGCGAAGAGAAATTTGTTGTCGCTGACGAGAAGCCCAGTGGCGGGAGAGGTATGGATCAGGCCGCAGCAAAGGTCCATAGAGAAGACTTGACGGGAGATGTTGCCGAGGAGTACGTACCGCAGAACAGCTATCATGTCCGTCTCATAGCACCTCAAATTCAGATGCAAAGTGAGAAGAACAAGGGCGCTGCTGTACTTGTCGCCGCCCAAGGAATGCAGCTGAAAGTTGTGTCTATTATGGATAAATATAGGATTGGGGATGATGTTAGCGGCCTGGTGCAGCGCCGATTCGCACTGAATCTTGAAAATACACAGTTCTTTGTATCACAGCGGCAAGACTTCGCGCCGCATTCGATGTCACTTCATTCGGCTAATCGATATGGCGCTCCTTCTGGCTCTTCATGGCCACCTTGGGTACCACTGGAGAGTATGTTTGATTTCCGCAATTTGCCCGTTGGGTTTTCGCGTGTTGTTGAAAGGACTTCTGCAACTTTGAGATACGATAAATACAACTCGCTTCGTTTGAAATATAGCGACCAAGTAAGCGACCTGGAGACTGGAAATTTGAATACCAGGGGTGGACCTATCGACGAGGAGCGTCGGATTGATCACGTATGGGTGGACTTTCCCAGGGTTGAAGCAGCATGCGATTCAGCCCAGTACTTTGCTATGTATATCATCGTTCTTGATCTTCTGTTATACTCCGAGCCTTTGGAGAAGCTTCGTAGCGAGAAGCTTGAGAAGATTATGCTCGCTTCTGACTTCAGTGACTTGACGGGGGCTCCGGAAATGGTGGAAAGTTTGCAAACCAGAATACACCAATTAGAGGACATCAAGACTTATTTCGAAATCAACTCTCGAAACTTAGATCTCGAGGGTTGGGAAGGACGAGTTTCGGTTGACGAGGACCTTGCAAGTTGTGAGGAAGAGTTATTCTTTATGATGAAGGCTATCACCACTGCTCAACGAAAGTACGACGATCGGTCATCTCAAGCCACCGGAATCCTCCGGTGGTATCTATCAGCTTCGGAGATTGTCTGGCGCCTTCTTCGCGAAAAACAGGACCCCCTTATGGATATCCGTCTTCAGAACGCCGGTTATGAGCGCATGGACAATAACGATGGCTCCAATTTCAACACCGTGGAAGTGGAGATGATGAGAGGATACAATCTCCTTCCAAATGCCGTCTACCCTGTGATGATTGCCCCCTTCTTCGATCAAATGCGAACGATGACAGAGATAAGACAGACCAAAATCCTTCGCGTATATTGGCACATGTTGGAGGCAATTGCTGGTATACCGGTGATGGATCATTTCGAGGTGAATCTCTTCCCGCTTAAGATCCAGCTTGAGCGCGAGATTGGGGATAAGATCTTTGAATATATCTTCCCGGGGGTTGGTACTGGTGCCTTTGGAGATGGTGGATTTTCACCGTTCCTGGTCCACTCAATGAAACCTATTCCCGATGGATCAGGATCAGATGATAGCGATAACGAGATGGAGAACGACTCCCACACGATGGATGATAGCTCGTCGACAAAGAGTGATGGTACCTCACCAGTTGATCTGAGATTGAAGCCAACTATGTCACTTGATAATAAACCAGAGCTAGTTAGACCAGCTTCCGCGGGATCGCTAAAACCTAGGTCAAATAGCTTCAAAGCGTCAAGTGGTGGTAGTATATTTCGCGGATTCAAACCATCGCGAACTCTCACTCATAAAACTTCCAACGAAGCCATCTCTGTCAAGTCTAGAAAGTCTTTGGAAGGTCCTGTACCTACTATGCCTCCACTCGACAAGAACAGCAAGAAATTGCAAATTTTCCACAGGTCTACAAATGACCGGGGCGAAAAACGATCTGATGAACTTTCCCAGATGATGTCAAGAGCGTCAAATTTCATGACATTGGCTTACATCAAGATTCCTAGTGTCGTTTTATGTCTGAGTTATAAGGTGTGTTGCTTATCGTTTTCTTGGAACGGATCGGAAATTGACAAATTTTATAGGGTCGAGACCAAAGTAACATTGAAGATGTGCATGAATTTGTATTCCGTATGCCCATGCTTGAATATCGGAATAAAACCTGGTCCAACCTTGACCTGGCCATGCGGTTGAAGAAGGATATTATCCGGGCACTCATTTCTCATACTGGAGCTATACTTCAAAATAAGCTCACTCATCATAGGCCAAGCAAGCCTGCACCAAATTTACACAGGATGATGGCGAACAACGGTTCACTGGGAACATCGGCCACTTTCTACAATCCGGAGGGTGACGACTCGCGTGACTTTACAATGTCTCACCGTGACACCTCGACTGCTAGACCAAGCACATCTTATAGCTTCCTCAAACCGCCATCTATCATGAGACCAGGAACCGCGATGTCTTCAATGTCGTCTATGTCAATTAAAACCATGAGTACCATGGGTTCCGCTGGCAGTGCTAATACGGCGGAATTCTACACACCACCCACAGGTGCTACTCCCCTGGACATGCAGGATGGGCCGGATGATGATAAAGTGAGTCCTTTGATTCAGCCTCTTCAGCGTGGCTACAGATATTGACGTGAAATTATAGAAAAACATCTTTAATAATTCGCTGGGTCGGCACCTTTCGAACCTGGCAGCATTGTCTAGACAGAAAGATGGAATTGCTGGTGATTCCGAGGAAAGTATCAAGAAAAAGGGTATGATGCTTCTTGGGAGGTTTGGCGGTAGTGGGCCGTCGTAGGGTATTTAGCAGCCTCCCTTCGCTTTATTTATTTTCATTTGTCCTATAACGGTGTTTTGTTTTATGACATGGGGTATTATTTATTATAGATACAGTCATTAGAAGGGGTGTGTTTTTATCAGCATTTTCTCTATTTATTGTAATGGACGATTCTTTTTTTTCTTTTTTCTTTTTTTGATCTACATAAAGCAGCTCGGGGGAGAAGGGTTTTATTCTGCTTATCATTCTTAAAAAGCTCTTGTAATAAGTTTAAAAATATGTACAATACGGTGACATAACTCATTGGATTGGCGCCAAAATCAACCAAAATACACCAAAATTTGCCCACAATGCAATCACGCCCAAATTTCTCGTAAGCTCAATGTCTTATAAGTAGCCCATACTATGAATTTCATTCTTGAGTGACAATTATCAAAGGAGCCACATGGCTCAGATTGAGAGTGAATTGTATATAAGCCCTACACAAATTCGAGGTCTTGGCAGGAATCTCAAAATTACTCGCTCAAAGGCTCCAAAGTTGTTGTATTATACAAGGCATCATAAACATTAGTGGTGTTAGGAAGAAAGGGGGGGTTTGAAAACCGCCATTTTTGTTTGTGTTTTGTGCTCAATCCGATCAATTGAATATGTCTCAACTCATGTTCTTTGTTTCCCCGCCTACGTATTCGAGCGATAGATTTTGTCCTGCCATGGCTGCACCGTGCGCTAGTGATATTCTCACCATTCGATAATGAGATCAATTGCAAGGTCCATTTATCTATCTAGTCTTGTATGTGAGATGAGGGGTAGACCGTCGATATCGATCTCATCTAGCTTACCTTGCCCCGTCCAGAGATAGCCTTGGAAAAATTGAGTGAGTAGCGGTGGGCCAAGACCATAGCTAAATAGAAGCCTTTGAAGCAAGAAAAAAGAAAAAAAAAACTTCAACTGCTTGCTGATCTCTCGCCCAAGGAGCTCACTGATGACCACGGACGTCCTTTGATATACTCGCATATATATGCTTACTGCTGGCAGGTTTCTTCAAGCTAGTCTCGAGGGAGGCCAGTGATACTTACCGTCGAACTAGAGCTGCGTCTCGTCTCGTCTCATGATGAACACTATCGGCTGCCCCCCCCCCCCCCCCCCAAAAAAAAAAAGCAATGAATGTAGTCGGATTAATCATTGACCGCTCCTAACCCTAACCCCAACAAGATGTGGAGTTTAGTTCCTTGGCACCATTGCTTGTTACTTGTTACTTACAAACTCTCCGAACGCTTGATATTCCATACGTTACCCGGATGTGGAATGTACGTTCTGGATAGATTATTATTAGAAACCGGTGTACGTTCCCTAGTGGCAGGGGTTTTATTTCGTTTCAGGGATGGAGTGGTGAAGCGAGAAGCGGGTTCAGGGATTGCATGCAGGTGCGTGTCTGAGGAATTGTTGTGCTGCGGCGCGGGTTTGTCTCGAATTTCGCATTTGGGGAACGGTGCGACGTTAATTGCAGAGGTATGTTATCTGGAGGTAGGGTACATAAAGTCGCGTCAGCTGCAGGTCGCTCTTCGAATCTCTTGTTTTTGGTAGGGGTGGGGGAGATGATGATGACTTTGATCACTGCATGGGATGGGCGGGCGGTTGTTTCTGGACGCTTGAATCTAACTTGAGAAGGCAGATAGATGGTGGGAATCTGACGGCTCGGAGCGCATGGGAAACTAGATCTCGACTATTCCATTAATATAATTATATAAGCTAAGGCATACTTATATATTACAGAGCTGTTTTCGTATCGAAATCCGTCAATCAAATTACAAGCCCTTGACACCGACTAAACCAATAATTACGTATACAACGTTATGAACTACTTTGAATAATCTACAATATTATCCACAAATCCAAACGCATAATGGTATTCGTATCTGCTATCTATTGCATATATAACCAGCCAATATATGTTTCCCTCTAATGTAGAAGCTATTATGTACTTACCCAATCGCACCCTCCCCATGCGGAAAGCATGAAGAATGCCCCCCTGTAGATATAGAGTGCCTACACTCCTACGATATCTATACTTAGATAACGACTGCCTTATGTGGGCAATTGGTCCCAGCGTACAAGGGTCATGGTGATCCCCAGCGACTATCGTATCAATCACCCCCCCATGTAGAAACATAGGCGATGTAGACCTGGCACAAGTACCGAGACATGGGTTTTCGATAGGTGGGGGTATGTAAGGCCCCGTATTACTTCTGCTGCGATTGGGGCTTCGTGGTTTTCTGGGGAGTTTGCTTTTTTGCTTTGCTGTTCTTGTTAGTATCCTGGTTCTTGTTCCTGTTATAATTCTTATTCTGTTCTTGTTAGTATTCCTGTCAGTACTCTTGTCAGTACTCTTGTCAGTTCTGTTTTCAGTATTCTGGTGCTTCATTTTCACCAAAATGCCCCAGAAACCCTGGAGAAGCGGGCAACCTTCAATATCACTACTATTCCTCTCCGCCCACCAACATCCAATGCCTCCAAACTTCTTCCGGGGCGCTCTATGCCTCCTCATAACCATCCTCCATATACACGCCGCCGCCGCCCAAACGCCGCCGGATGCCAACGGCGCCTCATACTGTAGCCTCAGTGTCCTCAGCAGTAAGTCACCCAAAGCCCTCCCTACACAGAAACTAACAAATATCCATTAGTGACCACGACCCCCACCACGCTCTACATCCTCGGTGGCTCACAGTCATGGGCCTCGGACATGGTAGCATGGAACGGGCCAAGTATATACACTGCGCTCCCTCATTGAACCCGCCTGCAAGTCCTAACAAGGGAAATTGTAGATAACGTCCTCCGCACCGTCGACATTAGCTCCTCATTTCGGATCGCAGACGGGAATGTCAGTAGCTATGCAAAGACAACCACCCTGCCGCTCGAGGTCCCGCGCCTGTCGCGCCCGCTGTGGTGGCCGACGGAGGCCGAGGAGATCATGATGGCACTCGGCAAGCCTGAGCCTGGGAACCGCACGCTGTGGGGTGATCAGGGGTGGCGAGCGTGGAGAAAAGGTGGTGGTATAGTGTGGATGGTGGGGCGTGGCGGGAGGATAGTGCGGACATGGCGTTTGGGTTCTCGATGGGGGCGCCGGTGTCGAGTGAGGCGAATACGTGGATTCCGGAAAGACAGAAGGGATATCAGTTGGGTGGGAGGACATATTCGGTAGATGATCAGGGAGCGGTGGCCGAGGGCGTGGAGACTGGGGCGTTGTGGGTGTTTGATAGGGCTGGGGATGCATGGAGCAAGGAGGATACGCCGTTTGGGGTGATAGGGTCCGCGGGGACGGGGTTGCCTTGGGTGGGCGTTGGAGACGATCAGTTGATCATGAGGTTTGGAGGTGTGGTGAATAGGACCTGGGTAAGTGCTCTGCTCTCACTTCATGATGGCCGAATGATTAATGGGTTGCGGAATAGGCGTCCATGCTCGAGATTGACATATACAGCGCCAAGCTGTCAAAATGGTACAAGCAATCCCTCCCCACAGACGCCGCACACCCACCCCCGCGCACAGAGTTCTGCACCGTCACCGTCAGCGCTGCCGACAACTCCAGCCACCAGATCCTGATGCTCGGCGGCGTCGAGGCCAACGCTACAGGCGACGGCACCGGCGACACCGTCACCTCAATCTGGGCACTCACGCTCCCGTCGTTTGACTGGGTTCTCCTACCATCGACTGTTCTCAACGAGGACGCGGACCCAGGGGGCAGGATATCTCCAAAATGTGAGGTAATTGGTGAGAGATATGTGTTTCAGTTTGGCGGCAGGAAGGCCATCAGTTACGACTTTCCGACGTGCGATGTGAATGCGAGTGCGGCCTTTTTGTGGGATATGAATACGGGCGCATGGACTGATACGTTCTTGGTCGATAATGGCGCGTATGAGGTTAGCAGTGAGGTGCGTGCGGTGATTGGCGGGAGGTATGTTTCCCTGTAATCAAACTCCTGATGGAAACCCTGCTTACACTGCTCGATAGCGCCAATGGCAATGCAACAAAACTAGCACCCGATAACGGGTTCACCGACAAAGCGCTGGGCTCGATATTCGCAGTTACGGCCGGCTCCGGCTCCGGCTCCACCGGCAGCTCCACCGGCAGCCCCAATTCCTCCAGCACGCCAACAACCTCACCCGAACCCACTGCAGCCTCCACCAGCTCCAACCACGGCGCCATCATCGGCGGGGCTGTCGGGGGGACCCTGGCCTTTCTCGCCCTATCCGGCATAGGAATATTGCTCTTCCGGCGGCGCCGCCAGCAGGGCCAGCAGCCCGAAAGTACTCTCGAATCCAAGGACTTTATCGGCCTCAACAGCCCAGCGTCGCCAGACGAACATTACCACCCGCGCGAGCTGGAAGTCGATGCGAATTCGCGGTGGGAGATGATGTGCAACGCGAATGCGTCGCCGGTAGAGATGCCGGCGCGGGAGTCGGTGATGGAGATGCCGGCGGGTTATGGTCAGGAGAAGCAGGTGCCGCTGGAGGTTCGGAGGAAGAAGGTTCCGGGGCGGTAGGTGGTGGTGCCTGGGTTGTTGAGTTGTTTGTTCCCTTGGGATTGTATATATGGGACGAATACGTGTAATATATGGAGCGACGGCATGCCTGGTGGTGCTGCAATAATAAATTATTTGATGTGGTTGTGGTAGAGGCGAATTTCGATTGGTCGGTGAGTAAGTGGGCGGGCTTGGCATAGTTACTGTTATGGGAAGGCTTTGGGGGCGAGTGATATGCCATGAACATCTGTATCCCGTGAGTGTCGGGCCGGAGAATGCCGAGCTACCTTGAGAGCCGAAGATTAACCAAAGCCACCAAAAACAAATCCGCGTTCAATACCACTCTCATCAAAGCTATCTAGCAAAGGACAGAAAAGTTTACCAAGCTGTTCGGCCGGTATCGATAAAAAAGACAAGTATGTGTCAGGAAGCGTGAAAAGTCAAGAGTGTCAGACTAAAATCTGTTTAATTCATTCTTATAAGCACGCCGTAAATCGCAGATCGTAAATCTTCTTCAATCCGTCTAACATATCTCAGTCTCAAACTCACGCAACCTCATGTGGCATATCTCAGTCCCGAACTCAAACAGAATCCGCCTCGATCAATGCGCGCAAAACAACCAGTCCATAAGCCACATACAAATCCCAGGTCCTAGAAAGCCTCTCTCCATCCACCACCGGCACCAAACGTTCTCTACTCCTCAAGAACGGCTCCGCCGTGACTCTCTCACCATACTGCTCAATATTCACCAAAAACACCCGATGGAACTGAAATTCTGGTTTCAGCGCCACTAGATGCCAACCCTCAACTCGGAAGCCGAAGTCTCCATGTCTTGTCTCAACAGGGGGGCTACTATCGGGCACCAAGTACCCTTCATGAAATACTTCCGCGCGACACATATGACACGGGAATGATAGCCGGAGCGTGTTAGAAGGGTCCATACCTTGCGAGCTGTCCCTAGAGAGTATACTCCACCAATAGCTGTCGTTGCAATCGCCACAGAGGGCGTGCGTGCATTCGCGGAATTGGATGCTGATGGGTTTGTCGTGGCAGATGCCGCATCTGATATCCTCATGTACCTCTTCTTCTTCTTCTGGCGTTAGTTCTTCTGCTGTAGCTACTTCTTCTTGCACATGCCGAACCCTCCGCCATTCCCCTCCATCATTCTCAGCAGTTCCTGAGATCTGTGGCATGCGCACCGTATCTGTATCCCTACTATCCAAGCGATTAAAAATCTGCAAATATGCAGCGAGGGACGCGAGAGGAGGCATCTCTTCCGAAAGGAAGCCGAAAGACCTAGGAGGCACCCGGTCCGCAATTCTAGGGTCATCGAGAGAGAACCAATCCACGGGGATGGTGCCGGGTGGGGCAGCGGGGCTGCAGCAGATGAGAAACTGGTGTGTCCAGGTGTCCCAAAGAAAGGCGAATCTGCGGATATTGCGGTCAGTCATAGTAGTCATATTTGATATGAGCTGGATTTTAATTTGGTTTAACAGGGTTTGAAGTTGAGGGATAGGTGTGGGAATGTTTGGTTAGTTCTAAGTGTGGATGTGAGTGATAATTTCCATTGCAGAGCGGAACTAATGTCTATATATACAGTTATGGTATCTCAAACACTCAATATTGAGTGCATGGGATTTTCAAGTGATGGGGAGAATCTTTTGTTGAACTGAAGCCTACCAATCAAGGAGGGTCCAAATCGATCAAATATATTTCAAGATCCTCTTGGGAAAACGTTTGGACGGGCTGGATCAAGTAACGCAATTCATGCGGATGAAATTGTGGAGCGGGTTCGGGGATATTTGGTCGTTTCGCCGACTGGTGGAACATGTTGATTTGATCATTGACGTGTGGTGATATAAATGTGCGAATGGAAACAACTAAAACACCAGAGCTAGAGGCTGCCTTTCTTGCTGTGCAATAGCTTTACAACTTAATCATCGATAATCACTTGGATAACACTGAAAGATTGATAGATTTCTCGACTATCAGTTGTGTATTTTTATCACTAGTCGCACGCAAAATAAGCGTTGCGTTTGAATCGCAAACAGCCACATCTTTGTATGGGGTCCCATATATACAGAAATCTCAGGCACCAATCGGTAGGACAATTGCAACCATTTCTTTTGGTGCGGGAGGAGTATCCCGTGTGGTTTTTTGTAATCCTGGGCCTGCGATATCTTTGGTCCAATTCCAATATTTGCAGATAATTGTGCACCCCGCGCGTGCTCTATCGATACTTTTTATATTTGACGCAGGCAGGATGCAGGGGAGTTAAAAGAAGTGAGGGGAGAGAAGCTCTCCATGTACTCTCATCCCGTATGCGGTGGGGTTTAGTGTCTATAGTTCGACCAACATTGACTGTCTTTGAGAGGTTATTTTAGACCTAAGTCCGCCGCCCATAGCTTTGAAATCTTTCTTGGTGGTAGGCCCTGGTGTCCAGACGTGACTAGGTCTCAGCTAATTCATGGGGCTCAATTGCACATGTCGGAACACGAGGTATTGGAAGTCGTCCAACCTCCTGGAACGACAATGAATACAATCTTATACGTATGTGCTTCCTACATGTAGTATAGCTCTACCTACGCATCAGGGCCTGAAACTATAAAAAAATACACTTCACACCCAAAAAACATGCCCCAAAAACGGAAAAGAAAAAAAAGGCTTTTATCCAAAGCGCCTACAAAACTCATAGAGCACGACGGCGGCCGCCGTCTGAACATTCATGCTTCTGGTTTCGCCCTTCTGTGGGATCTCAACACACAGATCCAGCTCCGCCAGCAGCTCTGCCGGAATACCGTACTTCTCGCTACCGAGAAGTAGAACCACTTTCTTAGGGAGTTGGTTGTTTTCGTCCCCAAGGATGACGCTGCGGTCGGTTTGTTCGACCCCAACAGCGGAATATCCAGCGAGCTTCTTGCTGCGGATGTAGTCTGGGATGTCTACTACTTTGAGCTCTTCGATGGGAAGCCATACTTCCGAGCTGACAGAGACGGAGGTGAAGTCTTTGAGCTTCAGGGAGTCTTTGCTGTTGAAGCAGAGGGCAGTCACACCCATAATTTCGGAGACGCGGGAGAGACCGCCGAGGTTGTAGGCGTTTTCGATGAGGGATGCGATGACGATGATGTCGGGTCCCTGATCTTTGTGAGAGGTTACTTTGCTCCGCCGGTGTTCGTTTGCTTCGACGAGAGCCTTTGCATCCCAGCTTCCGCTCTTTGTTTGGAGTGGAGCCTCTACAAGAGCTTCCATCTCTGTCTTTGTGAATTCAACCATGTTGGTGCTGCTCTCCAACTGTTTGGCAGTACCAGTGGGAATGAAAGATGTTCTTGAATTCTGGTTTTCCAGAGAAGCAAATAGTTCGAGAGGGATTATGTCGGCTTCGTCACCGCCGAGAAGATAGTCTCCTGAGAAGATGCCGGCAAAGGTGTAGTTTGACTTTGCGTTAAATGTCTTTTCGCTTTCGAGTTTCCCGGCCGCAACAATCTGTTTGAAAAAGTCTGAGTTTAGTATGGACTGCCTGAGACGTTGGAAAACGACGTTATCTCTCAAGTGTTGCCTGCTCTAGTTAGCTTTAAGAGCAAGATTATTGGAGGATGACCACTTGCCACTGCGCCAAATCATCCCATAACTCAAGCACCATTGAAGTGGCCTGATGACGCACTGCAACTTTGTTATTATTACTAAGTGGAATTACAGTATACAGTAACTTTGAAAAGTCAATATTGTTAAAGACGTTTAGTTTAGCCTGCAAAATGGTATCAAACCTCGGTGTAAAATTCCTCTTTGAGGTTTTCCTCAAGCTCACGAGCTACCATGATGGCGACCCGTAATAACGATGCCTGCAGCCTTGGGTTTGGATTTGCTGGGGCTTGTAGATATCTAAGGATGTGTTAGCAAAAGCCCATCAAGAATTGGCATTTACTTTGCTAGCATGCGTACCCCCATAGGCAATCCCGATTTTCTGGGAAGCGTATAATGCATAATGCAACAATCCACTATATTTCCAACTATCAATTCATGTTTGCTGGCTTATTACTACCTTATGATGACTTACCTCAAGGATAAATCGATATCTTGGATGCGGCTCATTGCACAAAGTCGAAATAGCTGTATTTAAGAACGAAGCACTCTTCTCAGCTGTCACAAAGCGCTCCAGCACCAGCAGAACTTGGAGTTGCGAGGCCTAGAGTCTGTTAGCCGGGGTTGATGCTACTTTTCCCCTTCGTTTTTCAACTTGCCTTCTTCCATTTACTATACACTGGCATTCCGGGTTTATTCAGTGCCCATGGTGCATATATTTTGTCCCGGAGGCAGTTCGCAAACGCTGATGCGGAGAAACTGTTTGGATCAAGCCTCGATAGAATGTCGAATATATAGACTTGGGCCATCTCTTCTCTTTCTTCGTAGTACTGTTCATAATGGTTTCTGTTTTTAGGTTAATTATTGTGGGTGCAGTAGGAGATTAGGTAGACACTCACGGCTGAGAGAAAATCTCATCGAAAACTCTTGCTACAGAATTCTCCACAAAGAAGTCTGGGTCTTTACTGGGAGTGTAGTTGATGAACTCGATGAAAATGTCTACCACCCACTTGCAGGCACAGAAGACGTCCGGCGCGCTCAGATAGGCCTCGCGGAGCTTGCCTGCATAGACAGGAGCGAGGGATCGTTTGCCTTTAGATAGTTTCATGATCTCGTTTCCAATCTTTATATAGTAAGTTAGCCATCAATATAATCACTTTAGATGGGCTCGAATATACTTCAGGTAGTGTTTCTGCTAAAGCATTGTTTGTCTCGAAACTTGCGCGTATCACAGAGACATCGAAGATGGTTCTAATCAAGCTGATCTCAAGAAGTGATTCGACCGCAACCACACTCGTCACGTCTGCGCAATCCCATAGCTCGCGCACTAGAAGGTCTAGTCTGGGATAGCGTTTTGTAGAGGCAGGGGCGTTGCGGAAGACCGTTCGGAAGCACTCGAGGATTCGGAGGAGGGAGCCTTTGTCGATGTAACGAAGCATCTTTCGTGTTGTGTCGAAAAGGATTGTAACGTATTCGTCGTTCAGCTAGGGATTCCATTGCTGTTGTCAGTACTAGGGTTCAAGGGGGAATAATTGTTTTGTGTGGGTTACCTCTTCTTCAGTTGACTGAGAAATCAAAGAGTTTAATAAGCTATATCCGCTATAAAGGAATTTACCGACAACTCTCAATTTAACCATGCTGCAATACATATTTAGTTCCGGTTATCATCATAAACTATCACTCGCAAGCATTTAGCGTTAAGGGGGATGGGAGGATTACTTCTCATGTTTATTCTGGGCCAATATCGGTAAAGGAAGAATTTTGATAAGTCCCAAGACCTCGGCCTTCCCAGGAAAACCTACCCTATGGCCCTTTTCTATCAAAGCCGATACAGTAGCGTCGCAAACTGCCAAAAGCTCACCGCTGAGCCTTTCAACTTCTACATCGAATTCATCATTCTGTTGTGGGTTGCCTGGAATCTTTACCCAGCCTTGTTTATGTATTAGATCCCATGAGCTTTTGAGAATCGGCATAAGCGCTGTGTTCGATAGCTGGTTCAGGAAATGGTGGGTGCGTTGATGGTAGAACAAGGCGGCAAGTTCCGCCGCGTATTTGTTGTTAGAAACATTTCCTGGGAGGTCATTCCCAATGTTTTTAAGCACTTCTAGCAATATTTTACGTGCTTCTGAATCTTGAAGTATTTCTGAGCAAATCTATATGTTAGAAACCTTTTAAAATAGTGGTTGTTTGTTTCTCACCCTCAACGAGCAATTTGCAACTAAATAGAAGTGAGAGAAATCTAAATCTGTTTTTGTCAACCGATATAGAATCAAGAACCTTGCCCAAACCTTGGCCCCTGTCGTCGAGGAGAGTAATAAGGAATATGGCTCGGAAGAGGGTTTTGGTTGGAATATCCTCTATGCTATAGGTTTCGAAGGAACTTGATAGATACGCAAGCATAGAAGATAGTTCTCTGCTGATATCATTATTGTCTGCAAATAATTCGCGTAATGACCGAGAAAAATTCGGGGTGATCAAGTGTTCCTTTCCGGCAAATATTGCAGCCATAGAGCTATAAAATGGCATCATCAGTGATCTGTATAGAAGGTAAGCTAGCGGTATCAGAGCATACTCAAAGAACGGTTCGATCATTGTTCGATGTAGTTTGATTGACAGAAGAATTCTGAAGCATATTGAAATGCATAAATCCGTTTTTAACAGTGCGCTATTCACATAGAGGTTAGCCTGATATATCCAAATCATCCCTTAGCTAAAAGTAAGCTCACAATCGCTTCATTTTAGAAATGCTGACAAGCACAGCCATCTCTTCTACTCCAAGACCATAACCAAAGATCTCTAGTACGCCGTCCATAATACCTTTCATTACATATACTCTCGCTGGCGCAAAAATGGTGTCCTGCCTATTATCGACAAATTTTAATAGCACAGCCGCGTCTCGGCTCTGAATAACGACTCTCTTCAGGAAACCTGCAAGTTTATCACCGTATTCACAATGGTTATCATTTCCCTTTTGAACAGAGAAATGATGGGCCGCGATTGAGTAGGGAAGAAAGATATCTATTTCAGATGGTTTAGTGATCATGTACAGTTTAAGATAGAAGAGGTGTTAGTCTTGACAACGAACCGTTGATAAAGTTCTTCCCTCTTTCATCTTCAAGCAACTTTCCCAGCTCTTTGCCTTCAAGACTCAGCAAGAACTCCCATACAGCCTTCTGCAATGGCCCACACGAAGATGTCAGCCCAAGTGTCATCAAAATTACTATCCAGCTTCCATATATTGGCGAAAATGGCTTCAAAAGACGACGAAGATCGGGAACTGTTGCAAGAAACTGGTTTGTCGACGTGGAAAGCGAAATGATCTCTATCATTGTAGAATATTTTGACCAGGCCGCTGAGTTCTTTACTGATGATGGGTCATATTTGATAAGTTTGTTGTCAACTGGCTCCGACAGCAGTCGGAGAGAGGAGTTCAGAATGTAGAGACAGAACTTTCGGCGTTCGTTAAACCCGGTGGTAAGACCGTTCTGCGGCGAGTTTAGTAGTTTGAGCATTTGAAGGAAGAATTGTGAACTAACCTGTACTAATATCCAATAGTTTTCTTGCTGTAACATCTCCTCCGAAGGACGAGAGCTGGGACCAGTTAATGATACCCAACGAAGCCAGATGCTAAATGCTAAATCTGCATGTATGGGCGATTCAAGAAGAATCTTAATACCATCCCAGACCATCTACAGATAAACCTAACATATTAGAATATTTGGTCTCAAGGGTTAGGGTTTCCGGCAAAGTATCTAACCTCCGAAGTGTCACTAGGAAGAACAGAATCGGAATTTCCAAGAAAAAGGCGGAAGACATGGCAAGATAATTCGGCGATTTTTAAATTTCTCAAAGCGATCAAAGAGAAGATAAGGTGTATTAATACCGACTTATCAGCAATATGGGTCCTGGCAGATTCTGCTTCCTTGGTATCCGAAAGAAGAATGATCTTAAGGAAGCATAAGTGTTGAATCACGACGGGATAAAGAGTTTGGAAAAATTCTGGACTTTCGGACTTCTGGTTTTTTTCGAGTCTAAAGGAACAATATTTATCCAGGAAAGGCTCCACATTAACCTCGAATGCATCGTCGCTGGCAGCGTGTGATTTCGAGGCCGCAAATATGAGCGTAGAAATGATCGATTCGGTCTCCCCAAGTAACCTGTCTAATATAGCTGGAACTGATAAAGCTATTTGACTGCCAAGTTGAAGGTTCTTATGTATTATTTCCTCGTGACCACCGGTTGTAGAAAGAACCAAGCTTTTCGCAAAATCGCTCAGGACATTCTCCGAGTATTTCTAAACATACCAATGGCATCAATGAATCAGCGAAACCTTCCCCCTGAGATACTGGCTTATAGCCGGGTGTGGTTTGTCTAAATATGCACATCTTGGGATTCAAATAACAGTGACGCCAACATTTCAGCCAGAACGGCCTTTTCCTTTCCATCCTGTGAAGTAGATAGTTGTCGAGCAATATGACTAGTGAGAGATCGTTCCTCCTTTGATTCGGCTAGCGAGGCCAAAATTCTCGCAAGCGAACGATGCTCGATGATCGTATCCATGTTGATTGGTGTTTTTTTTATGTGATGGCGGGGCAAATCAAGGTGGGGTGTGATACATGTAGCCGGGTAACTCTTGACCCAGCAGCAGCATGCGCTATTCCTAGAAAGGAGAAACCAAAATATTGACATTTCAGCTTACACTGCGACTTGTAAACAGCTTCACCATCCCAAGTCTCTGTAGCATCTCCAACACATCCAGATAAAATATGTCGATGTCGAGCAACAACATAGTATCCCCACCTGGGACACCAGTGAGACCCCCAATGATGACCGTCGAGAACCGCTCATTTCTCGATGTCGCTTCTCATCTTCATCATCCATTGAGGACTCATGCGTCAAGTGCATCACTGCGCTCCCGGGAACCAACTCCACAAAGAAATTCCGGGGAAGCAAACCGGGGTGGAAATGTTCGAGTCGTGGTCCGAGTTCGCGGCTTTCTCCCTAGAGGTTTGTGTAGACGAGCTCCTTGACTGAATTTGGAGTTGAGCTGAGATGTCCGGGCATTATCAGAAATCGAGCGTGGAGCAACAAATCTCATAGAAATGGACCCACGAAATCAGACTACTACTCTTCATCCTCCTCCAGAATCCGTTTTAAAAACAAACAGCCGGAAAATCGTGGATAAAAAAGAATTCACATTTGATAATTCTTTCTGGAGTTTTGATCGCCGTGATGATCATTACGCAGATCAAGAAGATGTTTACAATGCGCTCGGAGAGGAATTTTTGGATCACAACTTTGAGGGTTATCATACATGTATCTTTGCATATGTAAGGCGGCACATACCGGTGTTAGTGGAGCTTAATGTGTTGACGATATCAATTAGGGCCAGACAGGCGCTGGGAAGAGTTATTCAATGGTTCGCTACCCAGACTGATGTTCTCGGATAAAGCGTTGGCTAACTGGTGAAGATGGGTACTCCCGAATATCCCGGACTTATCCCACGCACATGTCGCGACCTTTTCGAGAGAATCGAATCCAACAATTCACCCAGTGTAAACTATTCAGTTCGTGTTTCGTACTTTGAAGTCTACAACGAACACGTCTGTGATCTCTTAGTACCTCGCCGAGAAACACCATATTACCTAAAAGTTCGAGAATCGCCAACTGAAGGCCCTTACATTAAAGATCTCACTGAGGTCCCAGTCAGGAATATTGGTGAGATATTGAAATGGATGAAAATGGGAGACAATAATAGAACTATTGCGTCCACAAAAATGAACGATACTAGTAGTAGGAGTCATGCAGTGTTCACTCTAGTGTTGAAGCAGATACACCATGACATGGATACAGACGAAACGACTGAAAGAGTCGCAAGAATTCGGTATGCTTCATTTCTGCAACGACAAGGAATAACTGTCTAACTTTTATTGATAGACTTGTGGACTTGGCCGGTTCAGAGAGAGCGAACTCCACTGGCGCTACAGGGGTTCGTTTAAGAGAAGGATCGAATATCAACAAATCTCTTACAACACTCGGAAGGGTAATAGCGGCATTAGCAGACGACGTCCCGACGAAGGCTGGCAGAAAAAAGAGAGAAGTGGTTCCATACCGCGACTCCGTAAGCAGCCGAATTCCGGTTACGAACGAGCAGAGTAGTACTGATGGAGACTTCCAGATCTTGACCTGGCTCCTGAAAGACTCCCTTGGTGGTAACTCCAAAACCGCTATGATAGCGTGTATTTCCCCTTCCGATTACGAAGAAACCCTCTCTACCCTACGCTATGCGGATCAAGCCAAACGTATCCGCACACGTGCTATCATTAACCAGGACCATGTCTCTGCTGCGGAACGTGATGCCCAAATTGCGGAGATGCAGGAAACTATCCGCAACCTGCAAATCTCTGTATCTCAAGTCGCCCAAACGAAAAAAGAAAACGATCGGCAGAACGAACAGCTTGAGATGTACCAAAACGAGGTAGAGAAAATGCAGAGAAAGATGGAAGAGGCGAGGCAGGTTGCAGAATGCAAGATAAAGGCATTGCAAACTCAGAACGAGGCATTGAGGCTACATCTAAGACTTGCTATCGAAAGCTTGAAGAATCCCATACCGGCTGTACTCCCGCCGTCCCGAAGAACCAGTATCGGCGAAGGGGGAGAGGAACAACTCGATGACGAAGAAGAATACGACGAAAGTGAAGAAGAATCTGAAGAGGAAGAGGACGAAGAGAGAGACGAGATGGAATCGAGGCTTGCAGATCTTTTACAGGACCTCGGGGTATTCCGACGAAAGGTATCCGATGATAAAGGTCGGTTTTTGGAAAAGGCGTATATCCAGGAAATACCAGCCGACGCGTGAGATTGCTTGCAGATCTCGAGATAAAATAAGGCAGGCTTGGTCGTTTTATTACTAGCGTGGAGTTATCGGGTTATTTTTATTTGTGGGGAATTAGCTTTAGTGGTGTAATTGAGACTCCATTATTATATGCATCAAGCATGGAGGAGCTTTGTATATTTTTAATAGCTAGATGTCGTTTGTTGGTGTTTTTTACGGCGAAACCGGGCTCACTGGGTTGGGTACAGTTGTATCATGAGCAGTCTATCGATCACAATATTCATAAAACATGGATTTACTATTAAACACTCATAGAATCAGCACATAAGATATTGTGCGAATTATCAGCCCGAAATGCATTGCGATTGGGAACGTGAATAGAAATCAAATGTAGCCCGAGCACCTCCAAAAATCGTGTCCCTTGTAAGTAGGCCGATCGCGAGGCCGAGTATGCTCGTAATATTTTGGGCGAAGTTTCGATACGGCTTGGCATTGGGTTTTTGTGCATCTCAATCATTTCCTCACCCAGCCTGGCAGGTTCACCCAATATTTAATTCCTCCCTTCGGCCAATAACCCTCATATTTCAAGGATTGGTCAACTACATATATGTACTGCGGAGATTTCCTGAGCTACTAGAGTAGTACAATAATCTAAATCAGAACTTCCTTTTAATACATGGGAAGTACAATGGTTATAATTTACAAGTATATGTACTTGCTGCGAGAATAAGTTTCCGCCACCACTTTTTGTTGCAACAGCATTTTCACGTACAAATTTGGCGGAAATTTATTCTCGCCGCAAGTATGGCTCGAGAAGCTATGGTGGGTAGGTGTGTAAACTTCGGCGTTTGCAGCCAATCTATCTATAGAAGTTGGGAGATCTACTCACATAATGGTACTAGCGCCTAGCCTAACGGTGGAATTTTCTCTAATTCCCATACAAAAAAGGTTCCTCTGAAGTTGACACACCCACCCCCTATGCCTTCTCGCGCCATACATGTATTGTTTTTATTATCCAATGACATGAAAGACTGCATAGCTTATGGGTCATGAAGAACCATATATGTATGTACCTTGAAAAAGTACTCAGCGTCTTCTAAGCACCAGAACATAGATAAATTACATACAATACCTGTACGTACTCCTCGAGGAGATGTATATCGTAATACCAGTTGACTTTGATAAAAAAGGAGCTAGAGCATTATAGCCCATGGGATGAAGAGACTGCCATGATTCATGCCGAACCCGTAAGAAATAGAAAGGCCATTGAGAATTCAAATTGAAATACAAAGGTAAGATTGCACAAGATACACGTGTAAAGGCGTACTCACTACATGTAGGCGACACTATTTTTTTAGCTGGCAGATTACCTGCAAGTTCGGGATCTGGGGGAATGCAGAGAATACAGTCCTCTAAACTATGAAGAGTAAGACCCTTAAAAACAATAGTTCTGAAGATTTCATTCTGCGTTTCCCAGATCCCGAACCTACACACAATCTGAGTTTTCCACCAAAAAAATAGTAGGACTGAATTCTACCTTAGTTGAAACTCTGCTATATTTTCGGTATGGTTACACCAGCCCCAATCCTAAATGAGTCAGGCATTGCTAGAGCCCCACGCCCCACGCCCCACCCCCAAAATTGACAATAAAAACCACTCCCGCAGAACTCTCAGAGCCCCGAACAAAATGAACCCCCAAAAAACACAAAAGCCGATGCCACATAACTTTGACTTTGCCGGCGACTCCTCAGATGATGAAGATGGAGTTGAAGGCGGTCCCTTGAACCCCGAAGCCGAGGACCTAGTGGACCGATGCAGCGAGCTCTTAGATGAAGTAGAAGCATTTCAGAAGAGCTTACGGAGAAATAAGCTCGAAAAGGGGGTGGAGCTACGGCATTTTCAAACTGCGGTTAAGAGCGAGTTAAGAGGATTGCAGTCGGTAAGCTATTTGCTGTCCCCGCAAAAGTGAGCAAATTCGACTAACATGCGACTAGCTCACCTTTGAGGCGCCAACTTCGTCAAAAATTAGGCACTCGCTAAGAAGCTCTAATCTATCATATTTGGAGACTGTGTGGTTAGCTGCAAAGTCAACGACAGGTATCAAGGGCCTTACTAAGAGCTTTACCATCACGGAGCCTGGGGAACTGTTAGGAGACAGTGAAAAGAGGGGAAGGCGTAAAAAGTCATCGGTTTCAGTGGACGTTGTTGCGCAGAATGGGTTACAGTGGTAAATACATGTATTGGACCTGGGTTGAGCGCAAGAATAATCATTGACACTGTAATTTTAGGATAAAGGTTTCTACAATAGCGAATTCTCGAGTCCTTCATGAGATCGCAAAAGCTGGATGGGAGGAATCGACATCTCCCTACGATTCTGAATCCGAAACCGAAGATACCCCCGGTCACGATCAAGAGGAAAATACGCAGCTAGCAACCTCTTCACTATCTCTCATAAAGATGTCGAAGCTTATGCACAAGGCAGCGGAACAAACGCGGATTCAGTACCTTCATCCCACAGTCCTTTTCTTCCTCCCGAACATACACCCTTCCCCTTCTACCCCAGAGATAGATACCTTCCTCTCCACCCTCCTTGCAACCGGCGCACGCATCCAGTGCGGACCCGACCTAGATCTGATATCTCCAAAGCCAAGTCTTGAAACAATGCTTCAAAGTCTCGAATTAACTGAATCACGCCGCTACGAGAACTTTTCGGATGTTCTTAATATCGACTGTACCATTCTTTTAGCTCTCATATCCGACATTTCTAACGCGACTGTTCCTGTCGAACCTCGGCTCCACCCGGCGATCCTCCGACAACTAGAATTTGAGAAGGAGTTAGCACTACTACCAAATCTATTATGGCCCGCATTGCGTGGGAGGAGAATGGTGTGCACAAATACGGCAAGGGAGAGATTTGAAGAGATTGTGGAGATTATTGGGAGTGAAAATGAGAAGTTGAGGGCAGAACTGATATTAGATACTAGGAGGAAAAATAAGAAGCAGCAAAGTGCAGGGAAAGATCAGTACTACTATGACGAAGACGATATGGAGCCGGTAAAGCCACAGGAAAGTCCCACGTCACGGCTAAAAAGGTTTCAGGAGGTATCGATACATACAGTTCCGGAAGATATACTATTTCCCATTGTAACACTTCCGGAATGGGAATCAGAGGAATCGCTGGAACACAGTGAAGAGAAGGAGTGCATGGCGAGAGTCTCAAAGAAGCTCTCGCAGGTTAATAGAAGTGTGTTTATGATGGGGTGGAAGAAGGGTTATACCACTGTCACAAGTAATAGGACGGTTGCGAAATTGATTGAGGGGCAGGTAGGGGAAGAGGAGAAGGGTCCGGATCTGTTCGTGCTGGACACGGCGAGGAGTTTAGTAGGGAAAGCAAAGAGAATTGAGAAGAAGGACTTGGAGTAAGGTGTGATAGGTCGTAGCGTAGGTACATATCTCAGTTTAGCAAAATTATGGGATATTAAAGGGGACGACCTAGCATCTCTGGTCGCTTCTATACTTAAGAACAATATTCTTGCGCTGACAACAGATAAGCAGTATATGTCAATCTCTCTCCTGATCTGTTCTTCCAATTCCACTCAAGAATGGTCATGTCATCGAGTGATATCGCATGATTGGGTGCACATGCACAACCCGAGAATGCCAAGAATCTATTGAAACAGATGACAAGGAATAGTGTATCTATTTATAAATACGTGGATTGTGCCTCCTCAAACGTCAGAAATCTAGCATCTATGCCGCAGCGAAGACTTTTTATGGCGCGAATGTGCGAGTGAATATACAAGCACGAATACCGTCACTTCAAGAACTTCTGGATGCAGCTGTTCCCCTTCGCGGGTCTCACGGAGTGCATTTGGTTGTTTTATCAACCCAAATTTAAATATACTTAGGCTGCTTTGGGGCGGCGAGAAATGCCAAGAATAATTCCGTATCTGGTCAGCACAGCCACTCTTACAAAGGCGTTGTTGTCCAGTTCCCAAGGTGCATGACAAAGAATCCCCCCCCCCCAAGGATGGCGCAGCAGTTCCACACATACGCAACAGCCGCAAGACATTCTTCGCAGAAGTCGTAGTGTGCAGCCCATCCCGTCGTTCCACCCAGCTGTCAGTTAGCAAGTTCTATGTACAGCAATCTTCCAGAAAACTCACCAACAGGAATCCCTAAACACGGATAGCTCTAGTACCTACGCACATTCCACGTGTCGACTTTAACCTACTCCTCCCAACGTTAAATACTCATTAACAAAGTCACCCACCCCAACCCGTGGTTGTTCTGTTTTCAATACCTACAGGATGCGTGGCTGGCTGCAAGCTGCGCTGCTCGCGGTTTCGACAACCGCTGGTATTGCGTTGGCGAACGAATATCCTATGGTACCTTCCCCTCGCACCACTCGTTCATTATCGTCCTCCAGAGAATAGGCCAATTCAGATTGCTAACCGAAGCTTCCTTCGCTCCTGTAGACATCTGATGGCGATCAGCAACAATGTTCCGGAATGTACAACAAGAAGGCTTGGGGCGGGAATCTCGATCCTGCAATAACAGTCAAGTTCAGCCCACATCACGACGACGACCATGTGGTATCCTTGATTATCTTTGAATTTAGAGACGAAGGCTTCCTAGGGAGATATCCAAGTGAGGATTCTTTTGATGTTTGTAGCTCCTGCGCTCGCGCACTCCTGATTTTTGTTTCCTTGGTCCTTCTTCTTTAGGCAGCATTGGCATTGGCATTGCTGGGAGCTTACGTGTTACATCTTCACTTAGAAAAAGTACATTTGCAACGACGAAAATATAAAGGCAGACCTTTGTAATTCCACTGATATCGGTAAATTTATCCTCGAGGCGGACACAAACAAGAGCTCTACTGGGAGCATCTACAATACTGCGATCAACTTGAAAAAGGTTGAGCCGATTTATTACCCGATTAAGAGGACCGGCTATTACTGTGTTTGGGCAAACGGGTTCAATCCCGTGGATGTTCAGTATGATGCGGTTGTTACGTTTCAGAATTCGTATGGTGAATTGCCAGCAGCTCAGATCGCCAAACTGCCGTTCTATGGTGGATTAACGATTGTCTATGCGGTCATTGGAGCTCTATGGGGATTTTTGTATTTTCAACATAGACAGGATATCCGTGAGTACATGAATTTTTTTTTTTTTACGAATTTGGGTTGTTTCGTTGACTAACGTGCAATAGTTCCGGTGCAAAATTACATTACGGCGATTGTCATTTTCCTAATAGTGGAAATGCTCATCACATGGGCTTTTTACGATTATATGAATGTTCACGGCTCCAATACCGCCTCGAAGGTTTTGATGATCATTGTCGCCGTTCTTAATGCTGCCCGTAATTCGTTCTCATTCTTCCTGTTGCTCATTGTTTGTATGGGCTATGGTGTTGTCAAGTAAGCCCCCGTGCACTGTGCGGTAATTTGAGACCCTACTAATTTACCCACCAGGCCTTCCCTCGGACCCCTCATGAAATATGTCCGCATCCTCGCTCTCTTGCATTTTCTCTTTGGAGTTGTTTATGCCGTTGCTTCCCTTACAATCACTCCCGATTCCGCCGGTCCTCTCGTGATGCTCGTCATCTTGCCTCTTGCGGCATCATTAACCGCATTTTATATCTGGACTCTCAATTCCTTGAAACTTACAATGAAAGAACTTCTCGAGCGAAAACAAAACGTGAAGCTCCTCATGTACAAGCGCCTCTGGTGGGTTCTACTAAGCAGCATCGTTGTAATCTTCGGGTTTTTCTTTTTGAACAGTCTTACATTTGCCGGGCACGGAAGCCCCGATTTTATCCCGAGCCATTGGAAGACTCGTTGGTTCGTATTGGATGGATGGTTGAACCTGGTATATCTTGTCGATATCAGCGTCATTGCCTATTTGTGGCGTCCCACTGCCAACAATCGCCGTTTCGCCATGTCTGAAGAGCTCGCGCAGGATGATGATGGTTTCGAGATTGCCTCATTAGCTGATTCCGAAGATGAGAGGGATGAGGAGCAAGGTCGAGTAAGGAACAACACAACCGGGAATGGAGCCACAGCTCCAGATGCTGGAAGAACCCAAGGTCTTGCGCCTACAGCGCAGCCGCAGCACGGGAGAAGGAGTATGGATAGGGGGCGTGATAGTGTGGAAGAGACAATGTTTAGTGTAGGGGGTGAAATGGACGACGAGTGGAGTGATGACGACGACGACGCCAAAAGGCTAACTGGCCGAAAGGCGGATTAGTTTGAAGACGTAAAACGGGGGGAAGATCCTGTTTTTGTTTCTGCGTGCCAGGGTCACATTAATAATACCGTGTGTTTTGGTGGATCCAGATCTTGCGTGATTTGGTGAAATGGCAATGATAGGGGCGTGTGGGTGGTGGGGTTAGCGTCTCGATTTCAGGGTTTACGAGTATCTTTATTTTCCATTGTTATTTTTGTTTCCTAAAGGGTCTAAAGAGGATGGGGCTACTTTTCTTTTTGTCATAAGATATTCATGAATTTTCTTCTCTTGTTCCTCCTTTTCCCAGCTCTCTCGTTCCTTCGGGATACATGATGTCTATAGGTCCTCCAAAATTAAGGGAATGGAAAACAAAAGTAATCGAGTGATCTTTGGTGATTGTAATGAAGTAGGGGTTATAAAAAGCACCAACCCTCAGAAGAATTGTCTACTGGGAAGTACACTACATTTATTTGTAAACTTGTCTAAATACTGGCCCGCCCACTCACAATCTCTATCTCGGCCATCCATAATAGAGAGTATGGGATCAGCCACACCGGGTTTCCTCATGCTCAGTACTTGAAAAATAGTGTATCCGAGGACAGTGGATGCTGACGAGAAATGAAGATATCTGGACTCGCCCGCGTTGTTTAGAAAATTCTTTGGGTTCTGTGCCGCTTTTTTGGTGTGAATACAGGTCAAGGCTGACCTAGGCGGATCATTAATTGACTCCATCCTTTGACCCTACTGGTCACTGTCCTAGCCTTCAGGTTTGCTTTTCACCGCCGCGATAACCATCTGACCTCCACCCAATTATAACTTATGTCATAACTCGGCCCATACTAGCTATAGACTCTGAAGGGCGGAATGTGGTAACTAGGGCTAAATTCGAAGGTATCATACAATCTACACTACTGGCGTAGTGTGACAAGAGCTCAGGCAGATCGAGGGAGGACATGATATATACCAGTGCCGAATTGAAGAGTTTTTTCAAGTTAGTTAGCGGCCACAAACGATGCCCTGTCGTTTCTGTACATGAGATTAGTGGGTCGAGAACTGCGAAAAGGTGCCCCCAGGTACAGAGAATCTAGATCTAGAGCGGTACCGCACCTCACTCTTCAAAAGAAATAACAAATATTAGGTAGTGGAAGTAGCTCAACCACCAGATCGATCCCAGGGGACAATATACCAATTGAGATTTAGGGTCCAACGTTGGAATTCCTATTTTATAAGGTTCGACATTTGTAAACCCCAGATATTTAACTGCTTTTGGTGGACTGGGTTATAACTTAAGCTACATATCATTGTAGCATACGGGCCCTCGAAGCCACAATAGCTCAGCCAGACAAGCAATTTGATGCTAGAAATGACCTTTATACTAGAGTAGCTAGATGTACTCTCTGCCAAAAACAAGATCTCAATTCAGTTCTTTATAACTATCTTTACAAGCTCAGAAGGATAGGGAAACGATAGTTACCAAAGCTTCATTTAAAAGTTAAAAATACTCATACAAAACCTGGAGACAAGTACCGAGAGAAATCATCACCAAACTAAATGACCAGTAGCTAGGAGATGCGGTTATAATATCTCCCACCCTCGGCAGTACAACCCAAGGAACAGGTGCTTTCTTGTATAATAATAGATAAAAACCTTGCATTATACTTGTCTCACGACAAGTACCAGAAGATGTTAGACATTTTTGATACGGTTCGTCCCCTTAGACGAGGTAGATGAGATCAGAAAGTTTAACAGCTCTTGCCCTCGGCGTCGCCCAGGGAACAGGTAACTTTTGTTGACTTAGTGGCCCAAAAAAAGAAGCACCTATCGTACTTGTCTTGCAACGAGTACCCGGGGATGTCGGTTAGTAACTCTGAACAGCAAATGCCGCATAAAGATCCTAAATGATATCTCCAGCCCTCGACATCGCCCAAGGAATAGATAACTCCCCCACTCGCTCCCCCACTTTGTGACTTGCTCTCCGAACATATCATACTTGTCTTGCAACAAGTACCTGGAGATGTCAACTTGTAATTCCAAATCGCAAATGATTAGATTTATAAGTAACATCTCCAACCCTCAGCATCACCCAAGAAACAGGTTGATATATGTAGAAAAGAACCCCCCATTGTACTTGTATCGCAACAAGCACCGGGAGATGTTAAGCCATTTGGTTTTCATGCGCTATGAAGATCAAAAGGCTTAATATCTCCTGCCCTCGGCAGCGCCCAGGGGACAGGGAAGCCTTCTTGCCCAAAAGAGAAAAAACACATACCGTACTTGCCTCGCAACAAGCACCAGAATAAGTGAGTTCTAAGAAGGGGCGGACAGCAAAGAAAGAAGAGGGAAAAACAACTTAGTCCCTGGGCGGCGCCTAGAGACCACCAGGTTGTCCGCAGATACGTACCCTGAGGGGACTGTATGTGCCCAACAACCTGATGTGTCTTTTCTTCTTTCTTTGCGGTCTGCGGCTCTGTGTTATCGTTATTGTGTTCTTTGAAGGCACGGGATTGATTCTTGAGAGGGGGCGGGGAACTTACTTGAATTCCTGGGCCACGGGGCGAGAGGAATATTGGTGACCGTTGTTTGAGGTTGGCGAAAAGTGGGTCCAGGTTGCATCGTTGCCATATCGCTGGGAGAAAAAGGGAAGAAAAAAGTCTGCAATTTTTTTTTAATTTATACCCCCACGTACCCAGCGAGTGGATGACTCTCTGTTAGGGCTAAGAGGTTTGTGTCCCAAAGGTACCGGGCTTGAGTTGCCCAGGCCCATGTTACTTGGCTGAGGTCCATAGAAGCACATGTGATAATCATGAACCATTTGGGGCAGGAGTTAGCCCTGTGGGTGGATATATGTGCGCACTGCGCGCCCACCGCCCTGCAGTGCGAAATTAATGAATTATCAATCAATCAATCAATCAGCCCTGCAGTGCGAAGGATGATAGAATTCCGAGTGAGAAACAGTGAAGATGTGGACGTCAGCCTAATTCCCACGAGAACACCGGCCCCCCCCCCCTCTCTCTAACCCTAGGTGAAGATGTAGTATTAGAGGGAAAAGATAAACCGTCACCCTACTCACCGTAGCTAGCTTTATAAATTTAGCTTTCCCCGAATGCGGTGCAGTAGAGAGCTCCGTAAAAACATCTATATAGAAGGAGCTACGCTGAACACGCACGATGTCAGCACGCTTCACTACCATGATAGCTAGGGAACTATACTTCTGCTCGCAGGTACCAATAACGGATACGGTACCATACCACAAACTGTAGCACTACAGAGCGTATAGATTGTTGGTGGGTGCTGTTAAAAGTTGCATTGTTAAACGTGGCATTATGTTGTTCCAAACAATCTGTACTTCTGTAATAGAGGTAGTCTGGCCTCTAAACTGTAACCATAAAGAGAGAGCTTTCGCTCTCTCTCTCCTCTGTTTCTACTCGTCAGTTCATTCGATATATTTCTACGTTCTCGGCTCTTCACTTTGCTGCACAAAGATAATCTTTGAAAACATAGATCGCTTGACTAATCTATCTCTATTGCACTAAACAATCAATCAACCATTCATGGCTCTATCGCACTTAAGTTGCGGCGAGGGTGCGGTGAGAACAGGTAAGTGAAGCCAAGTACTCCAGTACCTAATTTTCTGCGGTGCGTATAGCACCGGACTAGCAACACTTTATAAACCACCCCGCTACCGGGACACTATTCGTTGTCAAAGTCCTTATGGACAGCTAGGGACAACCCGCCATGCGAGTGATTTTCCATGACTCGACCAACGAAAACGACTGATCATAGAATATCACTCGGCGTTCTTTCTTGTCCAGAGAGGCGCTGCTTGCGATTATGGGCCTACTGGGATGTCCAGATGGTACTATAGTACTCGGTGCGGGAAGTCTGTCATTTCTACAGTTCTCTTTCTAGTTTCACCTACCTCATGGCTTCCGCCGCACGGAAAACCTACTCCGCACCTACCTACCTACCCCGCGCTACTCAAAGTCCCCGGATAAGAGCCTACTCCTTCTTGCCCGCCACGCTCAACAACCTCGAACTCGGCGTCGGCGGCGCCCACCCGCGCCTCTCCATGAATGCCGCCAGCCCCCACTCCACGCGCCCATACTGCGCAAATCAGCCCTCCTCTCTTCCTTCCGCCCTTCAACCAGTTAGAGGGAGAACTCACGAATCGCTTCTCGGGGCTGATCACGCCCTCTTTGACCCATACCGCGTAGGACCCCATAAGGTTCGCCATCAGCACATCGGTGAAGAGGCGGTCGCCGACGACGGCGACTTGGTCCGGACGTGTGACGCCGATGTCGGCCGCGACGAGGTGCGTGAAGATTTCGGCGTGGCAGCCAGGTTTCTAAGTGTGTTAGGTTTATGGGGTCGGGGCGCGGGTGATGGGAGCGGGGGTAAGACGGGGGTGGGGAGGGTGGGGGTACCTTGGTGGAGTGCCGGAGGACTGTAACACCTGTGTTTTGCTCGAGAATTGCGGCCTGCACAAGTCAGCCGCGGACGCGGGGAAGCTAATTGGCTGTATAAAGAACCTCCTTGCCGCCGGGATCATCCCACGTTGTTCCCGACGAGTTACTGACGATCAGCAGTCTCCCGCCCGGATACGCTTCCTTCAGCTGTTTGAACTTTTCCTGTGCGCCGCAGTACCCCCTGTCAGCGACTTTACTCCCCCAGGGGTCCAGGGAAGGGCGACTACGTTACGTTATACCCCGGGTAGACCTCGAGCGCGTGCGGGACGGCGAAGCAGTTGTCTTTGTCGAGGATGACGGCGCGGATGTGCGGCGACAGGGGCACGGGGAGGTCGGCGAAGGTGGGGATGGTGAGGTGCGGCTGGAGAAGGGTGGGCTTGTGGAGGACGCGGAGGGCGTTGAGTGTGGCGGAGAGGTTGAAGGCCACCATTTTGTGTTGTTGGGGGTTGGTTGGTTGGGAGGTGAGATGAGATGAGATGAGGTGAGGTGAGAGGTGACGTTGGGATGGTGCATGAGAGGTTGGGTTTACCCGGTCTGTCAACGCATGTATGCAAGGTGCCGTGATAAGATAAGATAAGATAACCCTGAGAGCTCCGACACGGGGGGGTGGTTACATTGAATTATAGACACGGTCCTGCAAGTGTTTGAAGCGGTTCTTAACTGGAGTAGCACATTGTAATCTCGTAGTTACCGTCACTGTGTTGAGTGGCCAAGTTTCGAACTGGGGTGGGTAATCGGGAGTTAGAGGTGGCTGCGCCCTCTAATTTGCATTTTCTACAGTCTTTACTACCAGCTTCGTTTCTACTAGCTAAAATGATACGATAGGGCTATCTGCGTGTTTCTATATTTTATGTCGAGATTTCTCCCAGGTAGAGTCATGCCAAGTGAAACGGCGACTGGCTGGCGGGCTTGGTGGGCTGCCGCGGTTGCTAGTGCGGTTAGGCTAGTGATGTGCGCTAATATACATGTATCTATAATGTACTGTCTCTACTCGTAATTTTTTGACGTTTCCGGACTGAACTGGGTCTGCATATGGGCGAAAATCGTGCATAACAATCATATTTTGGTGGCATGCAGACCCAGTCCAGTCCGGAAACGCCAAAAAATTACGAGTATTTTTTCTATTATTGGAACGGTCTGATTGGCTGTTGGGTGCAGGGGTGCAATTAGTCAGCACCACACATCAAAGTACTGAGCACTCACGAGAGGAGGAGGATGGAGCCGAAGGCCCCTCATGATTGTAGAGGGAGAATTAAATTTTATTTGATACCCATAATTCAACGTACAACTCGCGGTCGCGAGTTGGCACACCCCTAGTCTATAATGTACTGTCTCTATTTTTTCTATTATTGGAACGGTCTGATTGGCTGCTGAGTGCAGGGATGTTGATTAGTCAGCACCACACATCAAAGTACTGAGCACTCACGAGAGGAGGAGGATGGAGCCGAAGGCCCCTCATGATTGTAGAGGGAGAATTAAATTTTATTTGATACCCATAATTCAACGTACAACTCGCGGTCGCGAGTTGGCACACCCCTAGTGTCATGTATGTCATGTATGTCATGTAGGGTTCCCGGGATGTTTATTTGGACCTCATTGCAACGCAACACGACGGGAGAGGGAGGAAGGGGCGGGTGAGGCTTTGGGGCTGGGCTAAAAGCACGTCAACTGGGAATGCAGTCTCGGGTGGGACCTGCACATGTCACAGGTTGCATGTGCACACCGTTCAGTTGCTGCTACATGTTGATCAGCTGTTTACAGACATGCCAGCCCTATGCGAGAAGTGTCCTGACAAGAGCACACGAACCTCAATGTTTCCCTACTTAAACCCTCTCTCTTCCCTGCACTCACTGCACATAAGCAGTTCATCCCCTGAGCATCACTTCATCTCAATCAAGCAGCGGTATCACATAATCGATTTTTCATATACATCGTCATAACGGCTAAATACAAAGAACCTCCCCAAAGCAAGCTGGCACAAAAGAAAGAAGGAAGCTAAAAGAAGATGGCAAGAAGACTATCTAGGCAGAAGGAGCTTCCTGGTCACCCTTATACTCCATAAATTTCCTCGCCGGAACGCCCTTCTTGAAGCGCTCGTCAATCTCGGAGAACGTCAGCCCCTTGAACTCAGGAACACAGAAGTACACCCAGATCGTGCACATCAAACTAGTGGCACCAAAGATGAATCCGACCTTTCCCTTCAGGTTTGCTTCATCGGGGTTGACCTGTTCACCGGTATCATGTTAGAAAGCTGACCAATGGTGACCGGACGAAAGTATACGGGAACAACATACCAAGTACGGAATTGCAAAGTTCATAATCAGTCCCCACAGACTCTGCACAACCGTCGTGAGACCGATGGTCCTGCTCCTCAACCGCGGGCTGCTCGCTTCTCCCAGGATGACATATCCCATGGCACCAATGGTGAGGAACCATACGTACGCATAGATGACTGTCAGACTGCTCTGCACCCACTGCGCCGCCGCCGTCGGCACCACATCCATCACCCCAATGAGCGCCAACATGACCGTCAGCACCGCCATGCCCGTCAGCGTCACAATCCGTCTCCCGGCGCTGTTGACCAGCCACCAGGAGCTGATGTTCCCCGCCACACCGCACGCGGTGACTCCGACACCCAAAGAGAAGGTCTGCGACGTCGGTAGCCCCGCGAGCTGGAAGAAGTAGGTCGAGTACCCAAGCACAAAGATGATCCCGGACAAGTGCTGGCAGCAGAAGGCCCCCAGCGTGATCATGGTTCTTCGGGCGTCGACGCCGCGGAAGCAGTCTGCCCACGTGGCCTGCGCATACAGCTCACTCTCCAGCTTCAGCGTGCGCTGGATCTGCGTGAGGCGCGGCCCAATATCGCGGCTCTTCCCATGCAGCCTCTGCAGCGATGCCGCCGCGCCCTCTAGGTTCCCGCGGCGCACCAGATACCACGGCGACTCAGGCGCAAACGGCAGCACCACGACCAGCACCGCGGGCAGCAGGAACTGGATGCAGAACGGCGCGCGGTACGCCCAGCGGTCGGGCCGCTCGCCGAAGGCCTTGATGACGGCGTTGGAGAGCAGCTGGCCGATCACGATGGCGAGCGAGACGCCGCAGGTCGTAATGCCGCGGAGCACCACGGGCGAGATCTCGGAGCAGTAGGCCGGCGCCATGCTGAGGTAGAAGCCGAGCGCGAAGCCGAGCACGAGTTTGGCGACGAGGAAGACGGCGCGACTGGACGCGGCGACTTCCATGGCGATGCCGGCCATGAGCAGCCAGGAGCCGTACCACATGCACCATTTGCGCCCGATGCGGTCCGCGACGTAGCCGGAGGAGAGGCCGCCGAAGAATTGGCCGACTGGAGATGGCAATTGTGGGTTAGCTACTTATGTGGAGATTGTAAAGTAAGGGGGGGAGCGGGGGAGGGAGACGAACCAGAGGACATGACGTTGAACGCCGTCTGCCAGTTCGCAGGCAGCACCGCCTGCCCGTTGTACATGTAGCCAAAGTCCCGGCGGAACGAGTTTACGCTGATTGCCGCACCATTCTACCCCACCATCAATACCACATCTCCCCACTCCAAAAAAAATGAAAAGAAAGAGAGAGGGGGATACTCACAACCTGCGCATCAAACCCCCAGCTCAGCGCGGCAGCCGCAAACACCGTCGCCCACAGGATGACGCCCCTCTCGTCGCGCAGCGCATCCCGGAACGTCTGCTCGTGCTCGCGCCTCGTCTCCTCGTCGAACAGCGTCTGGTCCTTTGCGCTGTCCTCGACATGGTCGAGCTGCGTTGCTGCTTCTTTGGACATGATGACAGGTGGGAGTGGGAAGGGCGGGACTGGCTGGATGGTGATGGGGTCCATGGGAGTGAGGAGTGGGCTGGTTATATACCACCTTGTCCTCCTAGCTTTGGGGATGAGGCTATAGATGGGGGTGGATGGGATGGGATGGGATGGGGGAGGTGGACAAGGCTGAGAGTGATGAGTATTTCGCACCGGATGGGGTCTGTGCCTGCCTGTCTCGCCTCTCTCTGTCTCTGTCTCTGTCGTGCTCACATGGCGCTGGCGGCGTCGTTGAGACTCATAGAGTTCTACCTGCCAGTCGCGGATTCTTGCCGTGAAAGAAAAAAGTAAAAAAGTAAAAATTGCTCGCCTTGATTATCCTCCCCCTCCCCCCTGCGCAAAATCATAGCATTGACTCGCTACCCAGACCCAGTAAATGACGATAATGAAATTGAAAGTGTCTACGCACAAAACATATAGCTACATACTAAACCGTTTAGGGATGTGCATAACAAATAGATTATTACAAAAACCCAATTACCCGGGTGGCACGACATCGTTATTAGAGCGTTTTGGCAACGGCACTTTTCCAAATTTCTAGGTCAAATTTTGAGTTCTTGGCTCTGCGCCGCTAGAAGCGATTCCGCTTCTTTGGTGTGAAATCGCAGCAGATCCTGGAAGATCGACTTGTAAATGCTTGTAGCAGCGTAGAGCCAAGAACTCAAATTTTGACCTAGAGATTTGGAAAAGGGCGGTTGCCAAAACGCTCTATTCCATCTCCTCTGCACGTAGCTACTCTAGCTCCACAGCTAGCTAGCTAGCTGGGTTAAAAGGAAAATGGAAAACCCATAACCCGACTCCCGGGGTAAAACGTGGGGAAAGGAAAAAAAAAACAGAATCAAAAGATGGGGAAGCGAGAAGAGAAAAAAGCAAAGAAAGAAAAGAAAACAAAACACACGAGGTTACATAGCCAGCCGGATCTATGCACATTACCCGAATAAGGGTGGGGGAGCTGAGACACGTGCCAAGCTGGAGGTTGGTTGGGGGGTAATGACCGAGTGATAACCTATGAATCCCGCGCGGGGAGTGTCGGTGGTGGTGACGACGAGACGATGCTGTGCCTGGAGGCGCAAAACAAAGCATGAGGTGAGGTGGTCATCGATGATGTGTGATATCCAGGGTAGGTTATCCAGGGTATATAATGAGGTGATATTCTAGATTGATGGGCTTAATATGTAGTGTACCGACCGGACCATGCATAACCCGCATTACCGAGTACCGGTACCAGCTCTCTATGCCATTCCAAGACAAACCTTAATATTTGTCTGTAATCTCTCACGTGGGATGAATAGATTGCGGGGGGGAAATAGAGAAGGTGCAGCAGAGACCCTTATGGCCGACACTCCCCGACGAGTTTAGGCAGAAGTAATCACGGAGGACCCAGCTCCGGAGGTGCTGTATGCCGTTTATGTGTGTAAAAGCTTAGAGAGGTAGTGGCCTCTGGAGGTGGTTGAGTGTAGTTGGGGGCGGAGGATATCTTTGGGATGGGCGTAACGTAGAGTATATAGAGCCTATACCCGGTCCGATTAACCGAAAGTGTGGGGTGCAGCTGTGGGGAAGATGGGGAAGCGGAAGGATGCATGGGGATGGAGGTGCATGGGACGGAGATAGGGCGGGGTGAAACGGGATGGGATGAACCGGGGACTTCAGCCTGATATCAGGTGATGATAATCCGGATTCCTTGGCTCACGTATGGTGTTGGCGGGGCATATTTCTGATCATTGGCTGCTGGGGAAGCTTATATCAGGGTGCTAAAATCGCTTCCTTCTTTCCAATAAACAGCTACATAGCTCGATATCACAGTTCTTATTAGCATTACTTTTTTTTTTTTTTTTTTTCTGCGCACAGAAAACATCTCATACGATACCTTCTTTCTTTCTTGCTTCACTCCCACCTACCCACTACCTCCCCCTCTGGCTCTCTGCCCACAATGAGCACAGCTACCCTCCCCAAAGACTTCCTCTGGGGCTATGCCACCGGTACCTCCCTTTCCCCCCAACTAGCTATAGTTCTCTAGCCTAACTAAACCCCCTCCAGCCTCCGCCCAAGTCGAAGGCTCCCCCACCGCCGACGGCCGTGGCCTCTCCATCTGGGACACCTTCTCCTCGCTCCCCAACGTGACCGAGGACGGCCTCTCCAACACCATAGGCACAAACTCCTACTCCAACTGGGCCGCCGATATCGCCCTAATGAAGTCCTACGGCGTCAACGCCCACCGCTTCTCTCTCTCCTGGTCGCGTATCATCCCCGCCGGCAGTGCAACCTCGCCCCTCAATCCCGCGGGAATCGCACACTACCAGCGCTTCATGGAAGCCTTACTCGAGGCTGGGATTGAGCCAATCCCGACGCTGTTCCATTGGGACCTGCCGCAGGCGCTGCAAGACGAGTATAACGGCTTCTTGTCGGCGAGGGTCCTGCCGGACTTTGAGCGATATGCAAGGGTGTGTTTTGACAGCTTTGGCCATCTAGTCAAGAGCTGGTTGACGATTAATGAGCCGAACATATTTGCTGTGCTGGGGCACTGTATTGGCGCTCACGCTCCGGGCAGGAGTAGTAGTGGCGAGGGTGCGAGGAAGGGCGATTCGCTGAGGGAGCCGTATGTGGTGGGGCATCATCTGATGCTTGCGCATGCAAGGGCGGTGGCGGTGTATCGGAAGGAGTTTGCAGAGAAGCAGGGTGGGAAAGTGGGCATTGTGATTAATGGCAATTGGGCAGAGCCGTGGGATGCCAGTGAGGAGAGTATGTTGCCCAGAAACTTTCAGTATGATCATTGACCCCAGTTGCTGATATGAGATGTAGGCAAACAGGCGGCAGAGAACCATTTGACACTGTCGACGCTGTGGCTGAGCGACCCTGTATTTACGGGTGATTATCCGCCGCTGCTGCGGAAGCTGGTGGGTGACCGGCTGCCCACGTTTACCGCGGAAGAGTCGGCGCTGCTGAAAGGCAGCAGCGACTTTCTCGGGCTGAACCACTACACGACGTTCTATGTGCGGAAGCGTGTCACGCCCATCAAGGACGGCGACTGGCAGAACCACTTTTTTGGCGAGAATGAGTCGACCACTACTGCGCCGGACGGGACAGAGATTGGCCCGAAGGCGGGGCTGAGTTGGGTAAGGCCTGTGCCTTGGGGCTTCGGGAAGCTGCTGAGGTTCCTGTGGAGGAGGTATGATAGAGACGTCTGGGTCACTGAGGTTAGTTTTCCTTCTCTGCGATGTGCAAACATGATAAGACATAGTAATGTATAACGGTGGTAGAACGGCGTTATCTGTCCTGGGGAGAAGGACATGAGTAAGGAGGAAGCGCTGCAAGATGACTTCCGGATTGACTATTTCCGCGGCTATGTTGATGAGCTGGCAGAGTGTGTCAAAGAGGGTGTGCCAGTTAAGAGTTATTTGGCGTGGGCTTTTGCGGACAACTTTGAGTGTAAGTCTATACCTCTCTTCTTTCTGTTGGAGACGGAAGACGTGCATGTGTTAACAAGGGAATGAATGGTGCAGGGCAAGAAGGATATACGGCAAAGTTCGGCGTCACTTATGTAGACCATAAGAACAACTGCGAAATGACGCCAAAGAAGAGTGCCTGGTGGATGAAGGAATATATGGCAGCGAAGATGGGGTTGAAGGCCGATTAAGTGATATGGAGTGTCTTTTTTATGTAATAGATTTCAATGTTGCCTACCTTTATTCAGATACGTGTTTGAACGAAAGGCCTTTTGGACCGAATGAGAGTTGAGGAGACGAGGGAAAGTAAAAAGTATCTTTCACTTCAAGCAAATCATGTTGCCAGTGACTCATATCACGAACGTGATATACCTTGGTCTCATAATATTCGCACTCCTGGAGGACCTCCCATAGGCAATAGAAGGTGCTGTATCCCTATTTTTGTGCTATTCCATAGGACAGAAGCAAACTGGTTTCCCATAGGGACTCTGTCCTATTTCAGTTGTTAGTCCAGTTGTGGAAGGCGCAAGGGTTGGATCAATTGTAGTGAGCAATAGAAGTCACAGAGAAAGATAGGAACCTCACCGAAAATTAATAGAACTACCCCCTCAAGTGGGGAGGGGGGGGGGGGGCCTCTATTGCTCTTACTGCTCGAACGAAGAAAGATGAGAGTGATATGGTTGCGTTAAGTCGGTGCTACGGCTTAACTTCATAGAATCTCAAAACTAACACATATGGTTAACCGGTTACAACCACGTAGCAGTTATAACGTGTCTTAAAACCTACTCCGCTAACTATAACGTCTTCTATAGCCTACGGGAACTTTGAAGTCGTCTACTATATTCGATATTAGTAAGTGTATCTAAGGACTAGAGATCGTAGAAAATCTGAATCAAGACTATAAAAAGCAAGGTGATTGATTATCCTTTGGTATGACCCTCATAAACATAAAGAAGACCCACAGCCATAAAAAGAGGAAGGTGGGGGATTTTACTTACGTCTCAAAAGAAATTCATCACAAAAAGTGTTATCCCGTTAGTCTCCGAGCCTCCGTATAGGTGCACAAGGTGCGAAGGTTTCAGGCCACACGTAAGGCGTCTCTTCTCCGCGGCATATCCCTTCCTTGTTCAAAGGTCTAGAGGCGCAGAAGACCTGTTCATCGGTGCATTGATAAAGCTTTCGAGGGAATAATTAGAAAAGTGGTAGCCTCGTGCCCAGCCTTCTTCCGATTGGCTAATATTTGGCAAGCTTTAGGAGCCTGGGAGTAGGGTTCAAACATATAAAAAATACGACACCGTAGTGTATTGTATTTTTTATTATTATTTAATTTACAATAATACCAAGGGAAAGCGTAGACTAAGACAAACTAACCCTAAATGGAGTGAGATAGCTATAGGCCAAGCTAGATTGATCAGGGAGGGTACCGATCATCCTATATCACCCGTATCTTATATTTTTAACGGAAGTGAGAGTTTTTATCGTGCGTTTTCCGTCAGTGGACACTATTCGTACAGAGTGTAAAGCCCTTTCCCACGAAAGTGGCTATGAGATACTTGTGTGTGAATTGGGTGATGTGCTCGGTAGGTGGTGAACTCACTGCGTATGGAATCAGAGTACAGACTTGTTTGTTTATATGTTGATGTTAGTTTGTTTAGCAATCGCAAACCATAATTTGTGAGCACCGTTACATAGTGCCAGTAGGTTCGTCCCCACTAGCCTGCAGCTGACGGCGTTGAGTTTTAGCGGGGCCCGTTCAGGTGCCGGACGGTGGCGTTTATAACGATATATCTTATTAATAATAGCTATATATATATAATACCGACTTATAACAAATGCGTTAACATTCCGGATCCGACCGCTACCCTCGGAGCACCGATGCCGATGCCATGCAGGGACAGGCTCGATCCCGGATTCCCAGCTGAGAACAGAGATCTGACTACAAAGGTATGTAGGTTTGCTTGCTAAGGCAATGATCTTAGCATCGAATGCTAGTTTCCTGAAAGCCTTTGGTATCAACATTGCTCCCAGGAATGAATAGCTGAGACACCGGGAAAATAAGAATAACGTGTCTTCTTTGGTAAATTGTTTTCTTTACAAGCCTGTTTTTCGTCACTCGCCCCTTCTCTTAAAAAGATACTCGTATTTCGGGATAGAGAGTACCATAACGGGGAATTCGAAGAAGAATCTCGGGAGACCTAGTAGGAATAAGTATGACCGCTCGGCCCAGGGTTTGTTGAGATTATACTTTGAAAGCCAGTCTATCCGAGGGTAGCGGCCTGTACATATTCGTAAGCCAATGCCATTAGTACGTACTCAAATATCAGATATGCCCGGCCCCGGGACTGAGAAAAGGATTTGGAACACAGTATCAGATGAATGCTATAGTAGATAATTCTCATACCTTCTCCATCTGCCGTTCACTGCTAGGCGTTGAATACTCCTTCCCCTACTCCTCATCCTTCTTCTCCTCGTCCCATCACTCCTCCTCATCACTCTTATCGTTCATCATCCCTGATCATCATCACTTTCTTTATATCTGCACTGCTCGAAAGTGTCTGAAATGGAGGTGCATACTTATGAAGTCCTTGCGTACTTTTTGCCCGCATCCCCTCCAAATGTAATTCCCACTCTTACGAGTGTGGTTATCACACTTACCGCATCCAATTGGTTCGTCACCATGGATCCTGCTATCCCAGATGGTGTCCCCACCGACATCTATCAGCTCCCCGCTGCCCCTCCCACTATTGGGCCCTGCTACTGTGGTAATCGGATGCAAGCATCCGATGAATCAGAAGGCGAATGGGACGCCTACTGGGAATGCACGGCGGTCTGTAAATTGTGGAAACGCTTCAAGATCCAGCAAGAAATTGTCAATGGTCCACGAGTCGAGTTCTATCTGTTCGTTGAAACTGAGCGTAAGTACTCCATTTGAATCATCAATTAATGAATTATCAATCAATCAATCAATCAATCCATTTGAATCATAGTTCATCACTCGTGACTAATCAGGTGTGTGTTATAGTCGATTTGGACGAAACTCCATTGCTCGAAAGAGTCAACATTCCTGATGTGCCTCCCATTTGGGAGAGAAGAATGCTCATGGTCAGAGTAGAGAGGACCACTCCAGTGGATGTTCGTCCAGACCAAGGTATGTGATGTGTGATGACGTTGTTTAACGATGGCTTAAGCTAATTTTGAGCAGATGACCTTGGGTACATCAGGAGATTCTTGAAGACTCGCTGCCATGACGAAAGTCAATGGATCGGCCGTTTTGGCAATGACAATGACCTCGATGGTTATGAGACCTGGGAGGCTGGGGACTATACCGACTACGACTTCATCGAGCCCGATGAAGGAGAACTTGGAGATGACGAGTTCGACGAGTCTGATTCTGACAACGACGAGTATGATGATGCCTCCGAGGGATATGATAGTGATGATGATGATTTCGACGAGAAGGACGAGAAGTATGGTGCCGATGAGACTGAGACCGAGGGTACCGACAATGAAGAGGAACACTTCAACGAAAAGCAAACTAGCGACCAAGAAGACGTTGAGGAGGAGAAGGATGAGGAGACTGACGATGATGAATACGAGGGCAAGTATTGGGGGCTTCATATCGAGAGGGAGAGCAAGATTGCGAAGCCGTGGATGAACGAGCCTTTGAAGATGTGAATGGTCTAGACGGTACCTGTATGTGTCAGTACTGATCTTCTAGACACATTTACCGGAGCTTAAATATTTCCTTTTTTTTCTTTTTCTATGACTTGTGGCACAGATAAGGGCATAAATGCTTATGTCGAATACATGTAACTAGCTAGATGAACATGTCTTTTAAAGCAGCACGAATATCGTGTAGAATGGTAAAAAACTTAGCAAGAGCACGGGAAAGTGCCTAAATGTATGTACCTACATCATCTTCTTGTTACAATTACAAAACTTTATTGCGTCTATCCAACTGAGATGGTAGCGGATTGGAAGTTTATTTCTAGCGGAATGACGTATGGCGAGTCGTTATTAAGGCAAGTCGACACCAAGCCCCGTGGCCAAGCCGATAAAATACACATCTGTTATTATGCCGCTTTGTGTTTTTGGTTAAGTCTATCAGAGTTCCGTCTACCCTCGTTCTCAGACTGTATGCTGATTTATAATAAAACGAGGAACGAATGTACGTTTTTGTCTTCAATCACGATCATGGGTAATCACTCGGCTGTACCTGCAGCAGCCCTCCTGCACAACATAAGCTGCCAAGCCCGTAACCCATCCACCACACCCAGCCTACGCCAAGGCTATCTCCACGTACTATTGCAGCTGTAGGCCAAAAGTTCTGGCTAGCCCCTCCAACTATAAAGTAATCATTTCCATAATGAAGCAAACCTTGGGGGGGGTACATACAATCTTAGAGATCAGAGTATGTAGTTTGATTTTTACACCTACACTGCAAGTTTATGTCTCCTTTGCGGTCTGCTTTGCCCACGAATCCCGTTCAAGATCTTCCTTGTCAATCTAATGGATAGTGTCTGGTGGGAACTTAAGTCATCTTACCACCCGCACCAGCGCCCAGTCTGCCAACAGCACATGTAGTTCTCCCCATTACGTGTCGATAAAGGATAACGGTGGCAGTCGGTCAGTTGGAGAAGCGGGTACTTGTGGTTGGCCAGTTGAGGGAGCGGGTTACATGTAGTGAGATGATACATCCTGTCTTTAGTGTTGATTAGTTAAATACGTATATACACACTTGTAGTCAAATGGACTCCGTGCTTTGCAATAAACCACGTCTTGCCAGTTTATCAGTACGGCGGGGTCAATCCATGGAAGAATTAGGATAAAAGAACACATACTTTTGCACCATGGCCAGCTAGTCCCACTCGAAAACACGATATTCTCAAAAACATATCACGACAAAAAGAAAGGCAGAGGTTACAAGACCGGAGTAGGATTATCATTTCTGCAACTAACTACTTAACAAAAAAAATACACATGTAATATACAGTACTACCATTTTTAATTTTTTTTTTTTTTATTTTCACTTACGGCCTCGCCCAATGTGCCCACCAGACTTCTTTTGCAGCCCCTTGAACCTAACCAGCTTCACCCCCTCCACCTCCTTCCTTGGTTTCCTCGCCCCCGCAGGCTCCTCCCTTCCCTCCCCCGGCGCACCACTCCCCTTCTCCCCCTCCTCCCCCTGCTTCACCCAATTCTTCTCCCTCCCTCCCCCCGGAAACATCTTAAACTGCTCCTCGCGCCACTCCCTCTCCCAGTCCTTCTTGACCCTCGCCTTTATATTCGGCGACATATACTTATACCCCTTTTTCTCCATCGGCGACCCCCCAACCACATTCCTGAGCAACGCCTGCTCGCGGCTGCCCAGCCTCGCCCGCGGCGTCGGCTTGACGCCCTGACTCTCCAGCAGCTCGCGCCGCCGCTGCTCCTGGTACTGCTTCAGCATCTTCTCGTGGCTCCTCCTGTAGCGCGCCTCCTCCGCCTCAAGCTCACCTTTAAACTCCTCAAACGCCCTATCCGTGTCCCTCAGCCGCTGCACCACGCGCTCCTTCCCCAGGATCAGCATCGTGTCCGCCATCGACGGCCCGCTGCGGCCGCCGCACACGGCGATGCGCAGCAGCCGCATGCGGTTTGTCCACGCCTCCTCGTCGAGGTCGTGGGCGTAGAGCTGCAGCGCCTTGAGCGCCTCGGGCGTCCACTCGGGCGTGCGCTCGACCGCCTCGATGAAGCCGTAGTAGATCTCGGCACTGGACATGCCCGTGAGCTTGCGGAAGTTGACGATGGCCTTGAGCGAGGCCTTGCTGTCGAAGGTGGGGTGGGTGAAGAAGTAGTTTGACTTTTGCGCAAACTCGGTGGGGTTGAGGTAGTTCTTGACGTCGGCTTTGAGAACGGCGCGCACGTAGTCGGTGGTGATTGGTTCGCCGGTCTCGAGCCTAGGATAAGGGGGGGTAGTTAGTGATCAGTCACAGTGTCCCGTGGTTGGGAGGGGGCGGGCTATACTTGTCGCCGTAGAGAGCGCGGACCGCCTTCTCGACCTTCTCGACCTCCGCCTCCTCGGTGTCCCTATTCTCCTCAAACTGCTTCCTCAGATGCCCCTTCTGCAAGAACGGCAGCTTCTCCGAATTGACAATCGTATTCCCCGCCGTGAGGCCCTCAATGCTGAACCTGCTCACCAGCTGCTCCATCGTCATGACGTCGCTCCTCCCCGCACCGCCATGGCTCCACCCCAGCAGCGCCACAAAGTTGACCAGCGCCTCGGGCGAGTACCCGCGCTCGCGGAACTCACTGACCATGACGCTGCCATTGCGCTTCGACAGCTTCTGCTTGTCCTTGCCCATCAGCAGGCCCACATGCACGAACCGTGGCGGCTGCCAGCCAAACGCCCGGTACAGGTGCGCGTGCTTGGGCGTACTCGGCATCCACTCCGTGCCGCGGATGACATGCGTGATCTCCATGAAGTGGTCGTCGACCACGTTCGCAAGGTGGTACGTGGGGGTCCCGTCGCTCTTGAGGAGGATGGGGTCCTCGAAGGAGCCCTCGGCGTGGGCGCGCGTGTTTGCGCCGTACGAGATGCGGCCGTGGACGTCGTCGTTGAAGGCGGGCCAGGTGTCGGGGGCGAGGAGGCGCACGACGTGGGGCTCGCCGGCGGCCGCGCGCCGGTCGGACTCGGAGGAGGTGAGGGTGTGGCAGCGGCGGTCGTACTCGACGGGGAGGCCGGCGGCTTGGCGGGTTGCGGCGAGGGCTTCGAGGCGGTGGGGCCCGCAGAAGCAGCGGTAGGCGGCGCCGTCGAGGAGGAGCTGCTCGGCGTGGGAGCGGTAGAGCGCGGTGCGTTTGGACTGGTGGTGGGAGGGGAGGGGAGGGGGGGTTAGTGTGGTGCGTCATGGGAGGTCACTCGGGGGGGTGGGGGGGTGGGGGGGGTGTGAGGGCTCATGAGGGGCGGGGGAGTACCTGTTTGTATGGGCCGTGGCCTCCGCCGACTTCGGGGCCTGTAGATGTCAGACGGTGAGTATTTGCATTCAATTCCACCATGTAGCTAGCTATCTGGCTGGCTAAATAGCTGGCACTGTGAACGCATACCTTCATCCCACTGCAGACCGGCCCATCGCAGTGTCTCCATGATACTCTCCTCGGCGCCCTCCACAGTCCTTTTCTTTCCCCGCACTCCCTCAGCACTCCCAATTCCCCAGACAAACACAGAGGGGGCCACAAACCTGGTCCGTATCCTCAATCCGCAGGATAAACTGCCCCTGCGTGTGCTTGGCCCACAGGTAGTTGTACAGCGCCGTGCGCAGGCTGCCCAGGTGCATGAAGCCCGTGGGGCTGGGCGCGAACCGCGTCCGCGCGGGCTTGACGGCCGGGGGGCCCTCGGGGCGGATTGGCGCGCGCCCGCCGTGCTGGAGGGACTGCAGGGACCGGAAGTGCCGGACGCTGCCGGTGCGGCGGGGCGGTTGTTGGGGCCGGCGGGCGGCGGGTCGGGTGAGGCGCAGAAGGGAGTTCATTATTGTGCGGTCGCCGGGGGGGGGGGGGGTGGGGTGGCGTTGGCTGGTTGGTTGGTTCTTCTGTTTTCGATGGATGTTGAATTGGCTGGGTGACGTGTGTGTTGTGGGCGGTGGGCGGTGGGCGGTGGGTGGTGGGTGGCTCGAGCGGCGGTTGGTGGGGTGTGTTAGCTGTGCCGCTGTGTCGCTGTGTCGCTGTGTCGCTGTGTGTGTGGCTGTGGCGGTGCGCTGTGGAGATGCGCGGCGTTGTGCTGCTTTAAGCGTGCGCTGAGAAAAGAGAAAAAGAATCCTTGTTGGTTGCCTGCTCGCAGGTGCTAGGGAAAAAACTACCTCCCATGTGCTGAAAAAACTATTCTGCAAACCTAACCTCCTCTTCTGCCTCCACCACCTCCTCTCACCCTCATCTTTCTCTTCTCTGCCTCCACCACCTCCTCTACATTCAGTCTCTCCCTCCAAAAGCCTCTCTTTTCACTGCTGAAAGGTCTCTCGCTTTCTCGCAAACAAATCAGTTCACTTCACACTCTCTCCCCAGTGACCAGAGCAAACCAGCAAAAGTAACCCCCCACCCCCCACCCCCCACCCCCCCCACCCCACTACCCCTCCACCCCCACTAACACCCCGCAGTGAGCGGCATCCCCGACACCACCCTCTACGACATCCTGCACCTTCCCCCGACCGCCACAAAGACCGAGATCAAAAAGGCCTACCACAAAGCGGCGCTCTCCTCGCACCCCGACAAGGTCCCCGAGCACGAGCGCGAGGACGCCGAGCACAAGTTCAAGGGCGTCTCGCAGGCCTACGAGATCCTGTACGACGAGGACAAGCGCGCGAGCTACGACCGCTTCGGCATGGCCGCCTTCACGCCCGGCGGCGGCAACGGCGCGGGCATGGACGGCGAGGTGGACCTGGAGGACCTCCTGAGCCAGATGTTTATGGGCGGCATGGGCGGCATGCCGGGGATGGGCGGCATGGGGGGCATGCCCGGGATGGGCGGCATGGGGGGGGTGGGCGGAATGGGTGGAGGGAGGAGGGGAAGGGGGAAGGATACGGTACAGGAGTATGAGGTGAGCCTGGAGGATCTGTACAAGGGCAAGACCGTCAAGATGAAGAGCACCCGCAATGTCCTCTGCACGCAATGCAAAGGGTAAGTCAAGCCCCTCCATTCCCCCTCCCACTCATCACTAATAACGCTACTAACGCCCCCCAGCACCGGCGGCAAACCCAACACCAAGCCCAAAAAATGCACCACCTGCGCCGGCAAAGGCCACACCGAAACGCTCCGCCAAATCGGCCGCGGCCTCGTCACGCAAGAAACCACACCCTGCGCCGCCTGCTCCTCGACGGGCCAAACCTACCGCGACCGCGACCGCTGCCGCCGCTGCAAGGGCGCCTGCGTGGTCGAAGAAAAGAAGGTCCTCGAACTCTACATCCCGCGCGGCAGCAAGCACGGCGACAAGATCGTGCTCGAGGGCGAGGCCGACGAGGCGCCGGACCAGGAGACGGGCAACATCGTGTTCGTCCTCGACGAGAAGGAGCACGGCGTGTTCGACCGCAGCGGGTCGGACCTGAGCGCGCGGATGGGCGTGACGCTGGCGGAGGCGCTGACGGGCTTCGAGAAGGTTGTGCTGAAGCACCTGGATGGGAGGGGCGTGTTGGTGAAGCATCCGAGGGGGAAGGTGTTGAGGCCGGGGCAGGTGCTGAGGGTGAAGGGGGAGGGGATGCCGAGGAAGAAGAGTGATGAGAGGGGCGATCTGTATTTGGTCGTGGATATCGAGTTTCCCAAGGATGGGTGGAGCCCCGAGGTCGAGAAGATTAGGGAGCTGTTGCCGAAGTCGGAGAAGGAGAAGGAGGAGATTAAGGCGGAGCAGGTCGATGAGGTCGACTATGAGGAGGCTGATATGGATGAAGTAGGTCTCCTTTCTGCATAACTACCGGTTCTCGATGCTAATGGTTTGTGCGTTGCAGTACGGCGCAGAAGAAGGCGGCCAGGGCGGCGTCTGGGAGGACGACGACGAAGACGACGAGGATGGCGACGGGCATCCGCAGTGCGCGCAGGCGTAGATGCCGCTCCTCTTTCTCCTTTTTTTTTTCTTCTGTGTCTTTTTTGTGGTCCCCGCTCTGCTCCCCCCTTTCCCCACAAGGCATTTTTCCTTTTTTTTTTTTTTTCTTGTATGTTATTAACTTCCTCTTCTTCTTTTTTTCCCATTCCTATCTTTTTTTTTTTTTTTCTCTCTCTCTCTCTCCTCTTTTTCGCTCCGCGATAGAGAACCGGGCCACTGCTGCGGGAATAGAATGAAAAGCTTTTTCTGTGATGTTTTTTTTTTTTTTTCCGTGATTGGCTAGGGAATGTGGTAGCGGTAGAGGGAGGGAAGGGAGACTGTAATAGCGGTCGGTAGCTAAGTAGAGATTGTGTTACAACATTTTCTTATAGCTAGGTGTCCTGCGGTCTAATAGATGGATGGGTGGGCTTAGGCATGTTACTCGTGGTTTGATCCCCCCCAACGTACCCACCGCCCCTTCCTTCTCGGCAGGGTAGTGTTGATTTTGTTTTCAGAGATGGTCTTTGTGGAGTGGAGTGAAGAACCGGAAACGTATCGAGAATGTATTGCATGCTACAGTTTAGCGGCCAAACTACCGGCGGCCTCTACTACAAAGGTACAGATAGTTTGGGCCAACGCCCAAACTACATGACGAAACGCAATTGTCCATCCACCACCGCCACAATCAACCAGTGTTCCTAGTCCCTTTTCCCCACCCAGAAGGCATCCCAAGAGCGCAAGGTGAGAAGCAGCAGTTGCAGTAAAGCAAAATCACCAGCTCCAGGCTTAAGCAGTATCCAGAGTAGAGGACGCTTTAAGCTCCACATTGCCATATATACAGACACATAAACCACGCAACATCACACTGGGTGTCGGAGACCGAGCCAGTCATGAAATATCACTCGAGTGTTCTGATTGGTGGGGGTGGGTGTAACCATGATAAGATCACGGGTACTCATGCGTCCATGAGGTTTTTGGGCACAAACGAATTGTGGAGAAAAGGGGGGGGGGGGGGCGGGTGTATGTGCAGGAAGATAGTTTTACAGCTACAGCTGCTTGTGGGGTGGAAATGAGCGAGTGATTGCTTATGATTGCGCAGGGTACACATCTGCTGAGAAGGGTTGGGGGGGGGGGGGGGGGGGTATACGTATGAGAGATTGCATCTAGATCTACATGTGATTCGCGAAATAAGGCAGGTCATGCCCGACCCTCACTGCGACCTTGAGAGGCAGAGCTTGTGATGACTAGGTGACGAGCCTAGAATTTACAAACAAAGCTCGATGGGGCTGGATTCCACCCCATGATCACCGGCGACCCCCCCCCCCCCCCCCACTGCTAAGCCTCCAAGCCAAGTTTACTGACAGAATCGCGCTTGCATGTGTGTGTGAAAAAATCGGTACAAAAAAGTTCAGCACAGTTAGCTGGGAGGAATGGAGGACTTATATGCAATTCGCCAGTGATGCAGAAACCGAATCTCTAAACTCTAAAACTCATAATTAGTTTTAACCCCGTATAAAGGACTGATCTGGCGAGTGGTACCTCTGGTATGACGGACAGTCCAAACTGCGTAGGGAAGATGGGGGGGGGGGGGGGGGGGTAAGGGCGGGTAAAGTCAAAAAGACCGTGGAGGAGCTTGGGGAGGGGCAGAGGAGGCCGGGAGGAAACCCCACGTGATGCCCGTTTTAGTTTCCCGGCGGCGCCTAGGAATCGATATGGACACAGCAGGAAGATAGAAGATAGGGTGTAGCCTCATGTAGGAGGAGGAGAGGATATAAGAGAGGCAGGTAAAAGGGAAGCATGGCGGGATTTGGGGGGGGTACAGGAAGATAGGATGAGGAGGGGAAGAGGGGGGGGGGGGGAAGGAGAGCAGGATGACACTCTAGGTTTCTCGGTAGACGCCAGAAAGCCCAGATGGACACAGAAGAAAACCGTGGTCTCTTTTTGTCGGTCGGTTGGTCGCTCAGCAGACTGGAGCAACCAGACAAACATGGGGACCGAAGGAGAAATGGGGAGAGATACACACAAACTATCACTCGGTTTTAACAATATTAGTCTCAGTTCCCCATAAGTTTGAGTGGGGGCGTACAATGCTTCATGGCAAATCCACGCAATAACTACATAATATCCATGGGTTCTTCTATCTAAACAGCGTCATCTCAAGCTTTTGTTAAATCCATTTGGTTGCTGCAGCTGCGGACACTCTTCTACTCCTCGACGCGTGGCCTGCACGTAGAATGCATTCTTCCGGATCAGTACATCAGCAACTGGGCCGGAATCCCCACCATGCCATATTAACAGTTCCGGGGTCTTGGCATCTACTAAGTTCAACCTAAACGGGGCGGATTATTACATGTATGTACTTTGTGCCAACCAAAGTAATATTCATCCCATATTTCCGTAGCGCACTCGTACAATTGCGAGTGCTTCAGCATCAATTCGCGGTTCTGGGGTTTTTATGCATGTCCACCAACAGAAGGCCTCGAAGCTTCTCCCAATTATTCCGTGCATAAGGGTCTTGGCATGCGTAAAAGTAGATGTGTCCTCCCAGTCCCGGCACACAGAAAATCCGCCTCCCTTATCCGAGACAACAACCCGCAACCATCTCCCACATATATATCTTCAGTGAATTCACTCTTCCTCATCCCATTCCCACAACCACAACTCAAACACTCGCATCCCATCACCATGAAGTTCCTCTCAGCCCTCCTTCCACTCCTTACCCTTGGGCTAGCTTCGGCTGCCGATGTCGCCAGTGAGCCTGCCGCCGCCCCGGAGAAGGTTGTCAAGGCTCTGAACGTGTCGCTCGGCGTGCAGTTCGTCGATGCTGTCCCCGAGTTCGGCATCAAGGCGATCAATGGCGTCCCAACTAAGTTGAACCTCCACATTGTCAACAATGAGCCGGAAGACATCCGTGTCCAGCTCATCCAAGGGTCGCTAAAGACCCCCAAGGGCGTCGAATTGAGGAACTTGACGGCTTCGAAGGTCGGGGTAAAACTCGGAAAGGATCAGGCTGTAAGTTTTTTGATTCCATACACTCACATGTGGGCAAAGTGCTAATGGCTGGGATAGATTGATATACCATATCAATTTACGACTGAGATGCATCCCCAGGATGTCATCTTCAACCTCAAGATGTTCCTTAAGACCCCCGAGGGTCTGGCCGTCTCCCAGTCTGCGTTCAACCAGACCATCTCGATCGTTGAGGCACCCACCTCGCTCTTTGACCCCCAGGTGTAAGTAAACTCATCACGTCCTGGCATTTACGCCTATTAACATGGTGCCTGTAGTCTTTTCTTGTACCTCCTTCTCGCAGCCGGTTTCGGTGCCTCAGCCTACTTTGTCTACAACACTTGGCTCGCTAGCGTCATCCCCAAGACCAAGCGCTCCGGTTCCGACCAAGTTCGCCTTGTCCGCCCCGCTCCCACTCTTGCCGCCACCAGTGCCGGCTCATACGATGAGAGCTGGATCCCGGAGGGCCACATCAAGAAGCCTGCTACTACCCGTGCCAGAAGCGGAACCCCCAAGGGCGCCAAGAACAGGAAGGGTGGTGAGTAATCGGGTTGATATGGGGAGCATTTTTGTTTTTGTTTTTTGTGTTGTTGGCAGCAGGCTGGATGGTTGGCCGCGTTTTTGTTGTGTTCTTTGTAATTTACCGTAGGGACCAAAAAATGGACTGCAATGAGATATGGGTTTGGAATAATGAATGGTTGGTGTTCTGATATTGTGTTTGTGTTTGCTGATGTGTACTTTGAGATGTGGTCTGCTTGTAGAGGTCCATTCTATGTGATTGTGTAGGGAGATGTTCTAGTAAAGACCCATCAACGTCGCGCAGCGATATGCCTTTGTTGAGCGCCACAAAGAATTGTTACCAAAGAAAACTGAATGGCGGGCGTAGGACTCACATAACACCAACTGGCATGCAAGAGACAGAATATCAAACACAACCCCTGAACGACACTTCTAATACCTTTACTCAGCCGACACTCTTGCCAATATCTCATGTCACCGAGTGACATCCCATGAGCAAGAACCCCCCAGCTTCTAGCTTTAACCAGCTTTGGCTTAGCTTTCTAGGCTAAACTGCAGCTTCCCGATCCGGCATCGTTTTCGCTATTAGTTATAGCGAGGTTATTATTATTACAGTCGTGCTAGTACTAGTGCGGTAAAGAATTAGTTGTCGTCAACATTGATCATTGACATCCCTATCTGTATGATCAGAGCGGGCGTAGCTGCACAACCAAGCTCATGCGTGCGCCATGCGCACACAAGCTGTCGAAACTTGCATGTAATAGACGAAGCGGATAGATTGGGAGACGATTAAGTAATCAAGTTCGTTCCCGCTGATTCAGGTTCGTGCGGTGTCTCGGCTCCCATTACTTTATAATTTAGTAGAGTGCTACTCTCACTCAAAACCAGTGACACTGGCTGACACAGTAGTACTGCTGAAACCCCACTCATTTGGGGTGTGCGACCTGATTGACATTAACGCGTTGTCATGCCAACAACAAAAAAGAGCATATGTATGTGTAGGCCTTGCGCGAGAGGTTGCAATTGACAAAGTGAAATGCCAATAGCGAGACCTTGTTAATTCCAAGTAGGTAAGTAGCTGCAGCTTCTTTACGTGACTCATTGATTCAAACCCCCATGGCCAGCTTTTTTCGTGTGCTTCAAGAGGTATTATTAGCAGGCATGAAATTAAAGGGGACAATTGCAAAGGAGTCAGTGTGAAAGAAATTTTTTTTTTTTTCCCTTTCAAGAGAGGATTAAGGATGGGTTGATATAAGTAAGGAGTGCTTATAAAAGGGTACGCACATCCACGCGTCACTATTACAGCAACAACAGTACTCTAAAGTACACAGACAGACATTACAAAGATCACCCCATCCACTCGCTCAAACTACACCACAAGTCTTCAATATCAATATCAAAATAAAATAAAAAAAGAAATTACTCACTCGCCAAAAAAGGAAGACTCACACATTCCACACACTCACCAAAATGACGATCCCCACCACACTCCCCGCCGACGAGAGCAGCACCCCCGTGTTCGTCTACGGCTCCCTCATGTCCCCCAAGATCCTGTACGGCATCATCGGCAGCCCCCCCAACCTCACCCCCATGCTGCTCAAAGCCCAGATGGCGCCCGCAACCCTGCACGCCTACAAGCGGTACAGCGTGCAGGGCGCCGACTTCCCCGCCGTCTCGATGACGGGCGTCGACACGGACAACGTCCGCGGCTTCCTGGTGACGGGATTGACGGAGGCCCAGAAGGGGCGGATCGACAGCTTCGAGGGATACCTGTACACGAGTGAGAAGGTGAAGGTTGTACTGGAGGGCGGGGAGAGCTGCTGGGCGAGTGTGTATGTGTGGGCGGGGGATGTGAAGGACTTTGGGGCCAAGGAGTGGACGTTTGAGGCGTTCAAGATGACGGCGATGTATTCCCGTTGGGGACAGGGGGAGTAGGAGTGTTTTTTTTGGGGGGGCGGTCTGGGTTAGTGGCGGTGGGCTCGATGGCTATAGCTAGAATGCGTGCGTTTCGTGTGCTTATAGACTATTAGTTTAATTGAAAACAACTCTTGGGTTGGTGGTAGTCAATTACGAGTTTTTGTTTTAGTAGGCTAGATTTATATGACACATGTGATAGTCTCTAAATTAGTTGCTCCGTTTTATGTTATGTGGGGAATGCATTATTGCCCAGTGCACTAGCTACACTACATGCAGAACTCTTTTCAACAAAAGTTGATAATTTGAATATTCTCATTCAGTGCTTGGAAGCCAAAGGTGATAGAGAACACCTCAGGCTTGAGCTCGATTTGTCCGAGCATCCAATGAAATAGATGTGTTTCACAGTCCGTCTTCACCTCCGGATTAAATAACATTCCTCTCACAAGCCCCCAAGCAGGGAAATAAAATAAATAATGATTCAAGCAATATCAATTTCAAAAAAAGATAGAGTGCAAGTACTAGTCTTGCCCAAAGCATAGAACAAATCCCCCCCCTCTCAATTGATGAAAAGAGAGGGCAAAAAATAAAATAAATGCATCCAGCTTTCATGTCAGATAGAAACGAAAGAATTAAAGTTTAAATTGACGTCACCCAATTTCCACCAAAATGCTATCCAAGCAAGGTATACTTAAAAGGTCAAAAGTATCCCTAGTTATCGATCGTGCCTAAAGAGTAAAAAATAGAAAAAATATATGAAAGATATACAAATAATTAACTACTATCAGAAATTCTTCGTTAGCTGTACATGTGAGCTCCTGAGGACTCGACCGTCTTGGGTGGAATGTATATTTCAGAGTCTGTTTATCATGTTAACGTCATAACTCCTGATATTCTACCGCTAGTAAGTACTTACTTCTGCAGCTCTTCCTCTTCTTCTTGCCCCCCGACACATGGGGGTGGAGCCACGCTGTCAACCGTGCCCAGCTAGCGACTGCCCCCGCCCATCCATGGGTATTACCAAGGAAAACGTCCAAATTTTGAATGGCCTCCAGAGTTTTCGGATGGTCATGCCCTAGGACCTTCTCTCTGCCCGCTACCACCCGCTTGCCAATTTCTATCGACTCTCCATATCTCTTCAGCTTGTGAAGGCAAACGGACAAACGGTGAAGGGCGTTGAGTGTTTCTGGATGGTCATGCCCTAGGACCTTCTCTCTGCCCGCTATCACCCTCTTGCGAATTTCTATCGACTCTTCATACCTCTCCAGCCGGTAGAGGGAGCTAGCCAAACTGTGAAGGGCGTTGAGTGTTTCTGGATGGTCATCCCCCAGTACCTTCTCTCTGCCCGCTACCACCCTCTTGCGAATTTCTATCGACTCTTCATACCTCTCCAGCCGGTAGAGGGAACTAGCCAAACTGTGAAGGGCGTCTAGGGCTTCTGGATGGTCATCCCCCAGTACCTTCTCTCTGCTCGTTACCACACGCTTAACAACCTCTATCGACTCTTCAATCCTCCCCAGCCGGTAGAGGGATTTAGCCAAATTGTAAAGGGCATCTAGGGTTTCTGGATGGTCATGCCCTAGGACCTTCTCTCTGCCCGCTACCACCCTCTTGCGAATTTCTATCGACTCTTCAATCCTCCCCAGCCGGTAGAGGGAATCAGACAAATTCTGAAGGGCGTTTAGTGTTTCTGGATGGTCATGCCCTAGGACCTTCTCTCTGACCGCTACCACCCTCTTGCGAATTTCTATCGACTCTTCATACCTCTCCAGCCGGTAGAGGGAACTAGCCAAACTGTGAAGGGCGTCTAGGGTTTCTGGATGGTCATCCCCCAGTACCTTCTGTCTGCTCGCTACCACACGCTTATCAACTTCCATAGACTCTTCATACCTCTTCAGTCGGCTAAGGGAACAGGACAAATTATGAAGGGCGTTTAGGGTTTCTGGATGTTCATGCCCTAGGACCTTCTCTCTGCCCGCTACCACACGCTTATCAATTTCCATCGACTCTTCAATCCTCCCCAGCCGGTAGAGGGATTTAGCTAAATCGTAAAGGGTATCTAGGGTTTCTGGATGGTTATGCCCTAGGACCTTCTCTTTGACCGCTACCACCCTCTTGCGAATTTCCATCGACTCGTCATACCTCTCCAGTGGGCTAAGGGAACAGGACGAACTGTGAAGGGCATCTAAGGCTTGAGGATAGTCCTTTCCCAACTTTTTCTCTTTGATTGCTGCTAACAACCTCTGTGCCCCCGGCGACTGGGCGCCCCTGCCCAGCTTCATGAGGCAACCAGTAATTCTGCCAATTATACGCAAAGTCAATGAATCCTCTTTTCCTAAAAACCTCTCACTAATGGGTAGTAAGATCTCCGATAATTCCAGCGATTCCTCATATCTTCCAACTTTGTACAGTGTGGAGCACAATTTAAACTTAGCTTTCACCATACGAGGATGGTCATCACCAAACGATATCTCCTCAAATTTTAGAAGCTTTTTACTCAACTCCAGAGATTTCTCCACCTGGCCAGATCCCCGGTAGAGATCGATCAGCACCACCATAGCGTTCCTCATTGTACTACTAAGTTCTCTTTCGACTAGAAGGCTTGATAGGAGAGTCTCTAGAATTCCTGCTACTGGCTCAATCAAGTTATGGGATTTGCAGTGTCTTGCTATCTGAGTTATAGCAAATATTGTCTCTTCAGTCCAGGTATTGTTTAATTCGAGTAGATTTTGGGTATTTTCAACGGCAGTGTTGATATGATGTAGAATTTGCATCCCAAAAACCCATTCATTCATTGTCCGAATTCCTTCGAGATCATGCTGATATGTCGTGCCAACAAGACAAACAGCTTCCTCCATGAATCGGCAACGTTCGTCGGCATCAAGACTTTCGCGAGCCCACTCCAAAACTAATGGATGAAACGAAAGCTTAAGCTTTGTTGATTGTATATCAACCTTTCGTCTTGCCAGCGAGAATGACAAGAGAGCGTCGAGAGCGTCATCAGCCAAAGAATCGTCTATATGTAAATGTATAATGTAAGTATACGAATAAGCTGAACATTCATCCTGGTAAAAGCACCTTCAAATAGCCGGGGAGCTGCTTCTTTTCCTCGCAAGAGTAGTTCCTCAGAGATATCCACACCCCCAAGAAATGAACACAACAGGAGCAGCTCAGCCGCAAGCTGAGGGAGGGAATCAAATGAAATCTTCCAAGTAGTGTAAACCGTGTCATTTCTGTATCGCTCTGCTAACCCCCGGTGGCTCTTTGATGCAACACGTTTGTAATTTGCAGTATATAGTGGTAGATAATTAGAGATCGGTATCTGCTTAGATGATATATATCCGCCGGCTTGGTCGAGTGCCAACGGGAAATATCCCAGCCTCTTTGAGATATTTCTGGCCTCCGCATAATCTTCATGATTTCAGTATTTATCCCAAGCTTTAGAATCTAATATCAATAAATCATACCTTCATCATTTTCCGTAGGATCCGAATGTTTTCCTGCAGATGTCAAGAGAATGCTGATAGCAGCATTTTCCTCTATCTTATCTATCTCGACTCCAGTCCCTAGATACCGAAGTTCGAACCTTCGAGTAGTTATTATAGTACTTCCATGATCAAACTCTAGCTTTGGAAGAAAGTCATGCACATTCACGGAATCTATATCATCATTGTTGTCGAAAATGATTAGCCAATCTTTGTTTCCCGGCTCTGAAAGCCACCTTTTTGCCGCCTTGATCACCGAAGCAGAGGGAGTATCTTTCAGTATCGTTCCATTTGGCTCAATACATCCAGAGAGACCTAATAGGGTGCCTATGTGTTCGATTGTGCTATCAGACCTTTGGGGGTTCGTTTGGTAGTAAGCAATGATCTGCTCGACCATTATTACTGCGCTTTGGGCAAGAGAAGTCTGGCTTGTAGCGTCAATCCAAAAGATTGAGGTGTATGAGGAGCTTGAATAGTTCCGATAGGCGTACTCTGTAGCAATCTGACTTTTCCCCATCCCACCGAGCCCGTGAAGCACCGCAATCCGGCCTTTTTGGGTAGGTTCATAACCAGCCTGTCCAGCTTGATAGCTGGTAGCTCCAACTTTCGGATTCAATATCATGCTCATCTCGGAGAGCAGATCCTCCCTTCCCCGGAAATATTGGTTTCTTTGTAAAGGTAGTTGAATTGGAACATGGAATCTTAAGAACGGCTGGCAGTCCAACAGTGTGTTTTGTGGGAATTGGGGGGTGGGAAGAATAGCAACGAGACCATCGTTATATTCCTTTAATTTTCTAATGAGATGACCAGATCTTGTTTTATCCACAACAGCCCATCGCAGTTTCCTGTAAAGCGGCAATATTTGCTGCAATCTACCTGTCGACTCTTGGATTCGCTTTATCTCTTCCGTCAGGCCAGGAACAAGATCCATACTCTCTAAGATGGAGGGATTTTCGAGTGCTCTAATATCAGAGGCGTCTAGGCCTGGGAGAACTTCTGACGCTCCTGATTTTTTCGTTCTTCCACTAGGAGAGGGCGACCGTTGCAGGTGACGCGGGAAGCGCACAGATAGCCATGAACTAGAAGGAGTGGAGGGTCCACTCTGCTGGGACGAATTGCTGGCTTGGATGCCGTATTTTTTTTCCAGATCATCGGCACTCGTGAAGAGGGAGACGATTCTAGCCAAAGTTCCCACAGCATAGCGATATCGGTAATCGTCTGGGTCCAGTTTTCGATCCGAACCGCTCGTTAAACCCCACGCCTTTTCCCACCCTATCAAACGATGTTTCTCGGTATTGAGCTGCCAAACAAAGTGGTCGTGATTGACAGCGAGATCTTTCGTTTCGGATAAAACCTCGTAGCATTGCAAGGTGGTCTTAAAGAGTACATCGGCCAAGCCTACAGCGGCTGAAGTAGTCGAGAATATTTCCATGATCGTGGTATTCTGTCCTATGTTGTAATAGCCTATTTAGTATATGTTAGTTAACGATCACATAGGTATAAAAGGTTCGGTCGAGGGGACGATACGTTACCAAAAAGTTTATTTTGTTAAGACTAGGTTTGCTTCTCGGCCTTGTAAAATCACAAGCGGGGATCGATCAGCTGAAGCCTGAAGGCTGCTGGCGCCTACATAAAGTCGAGCCTGGTTCAATGGCGAATGATTTGCTAATCATGATTTTAATGATATGATTGAGAGGTACCTACATATGTAAATACCGCCGGAGGCACTAAGTACCCGAACATGCAAGCCCTAATCTGTAATTACTATTGGAGTAGAAATGAAAAGTACAACAACACCTTGCAGCATTTTTCGGGTACTTCAGGCCTGATGCATGTGATTCGTACCGCAAAATCGTAACTTTTGGATTCGTCATTGGGTGATGCGGCATGCCAAAGCTGGAACTGCAGATAACAATCTGGGGCCAGCTGGATCAATACTCCTCAAGAATGATAGTGCTAACTTTCCAATGGTGTAGCCAAACTACAAGTAGATAAACATCAGCATTGTGAGACGGGACCGCGATCATTTATCACTGAATATTTGCAACCGACTAAAAGCCACTATTGATACAGAAACATCTCAAGAATCAACACCGAGTTAATGTGGTCGGCACACGTTATAACCTACGCAATCGCAAAGAAACACACTCAGCACCGTACCATGGTCTCAGCTAGACTCAAAGCTGGTCTCATTGCCCACACTCACGATTATCGAGTAAGCTTGAGGTATACTTACGTATGATATGACAATATATCATATCATGACTGTGTAGGTGTACTTCTTGGCCAGACTTGCAAGGTTGCGCACATCATCGTCAATTTAGAATGCCCCATACAAGTAGGTACTTCCTCTACCTACACGCGCCGCGCTGCGTGTATGTACATGCGGGACGGAGACAGACTCGTATCGAAGGTTGGTCTTGGTCGGCGGCTAGCCCCTGCGTTTGAACAACCATTCCTCAGCCTTACATCTCCTCCGTACCCCCACTATAGTTTTAGCCCGACCCCGCGTCGGCAATATGTTTCGCCTGATTCCCCAGTGTAGAACAAACAATGCTTCTTCTTCTCCGCCGACTTCAAACTTCCTCATCTCCAGATGGATTCTCTGTGTGTAGGTGGGGTCCGAAGATAGACTTAAGCCACTAAACATCTATTAATAAACGGTATTTGGATCATTGACTATCCCACGTGATTCGATCGATTCTATTTATGTATGGGGAAGAGGGGGGGGGACCGAAGTGCGATTTTGCGGGGTATAGCTAGCTCGCTTCTGATCGATTTTAAGTTTCCTGGGAGAACCCGAGTGGTGGGATCGAATCGAATGTTTACTCCAGTCTAGCTCTACTCGCAATTTCACAGCGTTTCCGGACGCAACTGCTATTGCATACACAGAAAAAACCCGCCAAGGCTATCTTTTGTATGGCATGCAATAGTGGTCGCGTCCGGAAACGTCAAAAAACTACGAGTACATGATGATGATGATGATGATGCTCGTATTATTTTATTGTTTATTATTTGTTTGTTCGATCTGATGCCGGCAAGTTCCATCAAAGCTCAACGCAGCCCAAACCTAGCTTAGTAGAGTAAGAGTAGCACCTAGCGATGGGGAGGAAATGAACAAATTCGACGCTGCCACGATCCGTTAGAAGAGGACTGAACCTTAGATAAGAGAGACACGAATCTGTTATCGATCACCGTGACCATCGGTATCGATACTGGAGGTGCCAACTTATCGTGAAGGGAGATCCGCGCGTGTGTAGGAGAGTAGTAGCACTGGCCCTGTTGCCAAGCAGAAGCTCAAAGCTTCTCCTTACCACTGTTTCAGGGCAATATTAATAGATTTACCGCTCGCCTTTCTGTCTGCCCTCGCTCCCCTGTCATCAATCAAAGTGCAACTCAGTATCCTAGACGAGACGATACGATACGAAGGGCACCTGGCTAGCTAGGCAGGGCGACAAACTGAGGGGTGGGAGCATTCAGTCAGTCTGAGAAAGTGTGAGAGAAGGATTCAGAGAAAGAAAGAAGAAAGAAAAGACGAAGGAGAGTGTACTCATCTGTGTTAGCTAGCTGCACCACCACCAAGATACAACACCCACCTCCCTCCCACCCCCCCTTTAATTGCGCGTGTGAGAGAGAAGCGGGAAGAGCACGCGAGCAGAGTTTAGAGAGGGGTGATATACATAAGATACTCGACTCCCATACCTCCATGTGCCTAGCACACATACATACCTACTGCTCTACCCAGCCTGCCCTCGGTCCAGTATTTCTCACCGTACCATACCATCCATACCATACCTCATTACCTACATACCTACAATCCACCCACGCCTCCATCCCACATACTTACTCCATACCTCCCTCTACCTAGCTGAACATACAATCGCTCCCCCCTCTCTCTCCCCTCGTATCGTGTCCACGAATCCACTGTACAGTGAACCACAAATGTCTCCAGCAGTCACCCTGCCCCGATTACAAACAAAGCCAACAACATGCTGCCCAAACTGCGGCGCGGACGCCCAAGAGTTTGCCGACGCGAGGCGACGCATAGCAGAGCTCGAAGCCCAGGTCAGGTTACTGAGCGATAAAGCCACTTCTGCCGGTAAGCCCCATTGTTTCCCCTTCAACCCTACCAGCTAGCTAGCTACCTCCCCTAGCACAAGCCCCCCCGTACGACCAGACCAGACCAGCCAGCCCAGCTCTCGAGGGGGGGAACACAAGCTTTTATATCCCCTCTGCCCTGAAGGCCCCAAGCTAAACAAACCCTGAAAACCCAGTGGACAAACTCGCCGACTACGAAGACGAAGTCCGCAAACGCTCCATCTCGTCCGCCTCCTCTGGCCGCGACACCATGGGCTCCAACGCCTCCCCACCCCTGACCCGCCCGACCTCATCCCCCTCACAGATGCCCGTGCCTCCGCCAGCCCTCAACCGCATCTCCGCCTTCCTCTCCGCGGCCACCACCCGCCGCGGTGCTCCCCCGCCCAGTCCGCCTCCCGAGGAGGCCGTGAACGAGCCGCTAGAGAAGGAGCGGAGGCTGCGGTTGAAGGCGGAGGAGCGGTTGGATCAGGTGACGGAAGAGCTGGAGGACCTGTCGGCGACGCTGTTCCAGCAGGCGAATGAGATGGTTGCGACGGAGAGGAGGGAGAGGGCAAAGTTGGAGGAGAGGATTGCGGTCCTGGAGGGTCGCGAGGTGAAGACGAAGGAGAGGCTGGGACTGCTGGAGAGGGCGGTGGATAGGGCGGGGAGGGTGAGGGAGGTGTTGGCGGAGGGACAGAGAACGACGAGTATGCCGCCGAGTATGCCGGGGAGGGGGCTGGGGATAAGTCTCTAGAAAGTAGGGGCCGATATCAATGGAAAAAAAAAATGGCATCTGAGTGGGACGATCTTGGTGGAACTTGACATGTCTTCTTATAGATTTTGGCGGGCCCTTCTTTTGTCTTGTCTTTTCTGACTGTTTTTCAAAAATAGGAAAGGCGTTTTGTGAATATCTCTTTTGTTCTGGAGTTTTTTTTCTTCCTATTTTGGGGTTTTCTTCTTCCTTTCCCTTCCAAGCATTTTTGTTCCTCTTCTTCTTCTTCTTCTCCCTCCTCATCCTCCTCTTTCTACTATCTGATACACGGCGCAGGGGTTTTTCCATTTCCTTTCACGCTGCGGCGGCTTGCATTCACGGCGTACCCTTTTCTTCTTCTTCTTTTTTGCCTTTTTTTTGATCATGATACCTGGACTGATGACCTTTTCCTTTTTCGTTTTCCTTTGTTTTTCTTCTGCGTGCTGTGGCAAAGTTGTATCTATTGATGGGGGTTGGGGGGGGTCTGTGGTTGGTTTATATATATTTAATTTTTGTTCTTTGACACATCTGGTTCGATCCCTGCTAGTTACGTAGATATATATATGTAGGTTTGCCATATGTGATATTTAGGTGTATATCATTGCCCCGAGTAAGTCGAGTAGTGTTCTGCGGTGTGTAGATTCGGCGTGAAGGACCCGGAATGTACATCCAACTAGACAAGCCTAAAGCCTCCAGCCTATCACTGCCATCCGCGGTTAATGCTGCGTCTGGGGGTTAATCGGCGCTCGTGAGCTGTAACGGACGGCCCATGGTGTAGTCGTGGGCGACGTATGCTTCATTCCAGAAAGATGCTCTACTAATCCGATGTTGTAAACCACGGGTAGATACCGTAAGCCGAGCTAGAAAGCTAGCTAGACACCGCGCCGCTCAATCTTTACTGACTTGGGGAGGGGGGGATACCTCTCGTGAACTAACCACTGTCCTGGATATAGATGTTTGTAACCAACCCACGATTGGTGTTTCCGCCTAGCCCTCCTTGCAATGATAATGAATCGAATGGAGGGACCATAATCCTTTCCACAGCAGAAACAGAACTGGTACGCCCAGAACAACATAATAGACTCCAACTAACTACCAACCTCAAAAACACAAGTCGTACGTCGTAACCTCGAGCCCAATCATGATAAGTCAAGTCCAGCCACTTGCAGGTGTGTTCTCAGCCGTGACCTAGGATATCCACATAAGTCACAGTCCATCACTCGCCGCCCCCACCGGCAGGCCGACAACAAATGCGAGGTACTTCAGCCCAACTTCATGCAGCCATACCACCCAAGCCCTTCCGCGTCAAACAGCCAGCTTCTCGCCCTGTTTTACCAGTGACCCGCGAGTGCGTGGCCCGGCGCACAGTCTCTCACTCGGCCTCCCGCAGCCTGCAGGGAGAGAGCAGGGGTGGTAGAGACAGACAGCCCTGGGAGTACCCGTGGAATCAATGCACTGTGTAGTCTCTTTGAGACTGGCCGGAAGACTCAGTGTCTAGTACATGCACCGGCGCTGAGGCTGGCGGTCATCGGGGTACCAAGGGAAACGTGCGCGCCAGGGGGGTATCTAGCTTGATGTTATGTCGATGCATGAGGGCAAAGCAG